TTCGGCAAAAAGAAAAATCAATTTTTTTTCTTGATAGTTTTTTTCTGTTGTCATAAATTAAAAATACGAGCCAATCGTTCTAAAATGACACAAAAATACGGTAATAAATAGTTTTTAAAACATTTTAAGAAAACTGAATTAAGGATGATCTTGTTAGAGAGATACACTGTTGCCATGGTTATCGCTATGGCATCCAATCATCCTCGACACACTGCCTAAAGATTACTCATCCACAATAAAATTATTTTTAGCAAAACGTTTTTTAATCATCTTTCTTAATGCCCATCAAATTTGGTGACTTATCCAAAATTTGTCTTGGACTATTTCGATATCACCTATTTTGTTTATATGGTATCTTCACTTTTTAAATTGATTTTTCCATGAAACAAAAACGTTCACCTTAAATTTAGATCGTTTTCATTAGCACTTTTCTAATTTTGAACAATGGCAATTTCCTATCATCACAAAATACCATTTGGTGGATCTAAGATATAGAAGCGGCTATTTGACGTAGTTTTCCCAAAAAGTGCTATAAACTCTGTTCGAAAATGGGGCAAAGTGTCATATTTAGTAAAATAAAATAGAATAGACTGTCAATATCCGTGCAATTCAAAGGAAGAAACAGAAGATGAGATATAGCGATAAACACTTTTTAACTGAAATTTGAAATTTTTAAGCATTTTCAAATTTCGCTTTAAAACGATTATAATGAAGCTCGCCTGAATTTTGTTGCAAGAACTTTGAAGAAGGTGATGACGCTAAGCAACCCCTAAAACAAACTACAGACAAGAAAAGAAACATTTCGACAAAATAGCGCATGAAATGCAAAATTCCGGGATTCCAGACAGTTAAAGGATTCAAGCATAGGCCAAAGGATGGAGTTGGGGGATGGCGCTTGCTCAGTAGAGGAGGGCCTTTTAAATTTTTCATCAAAGACAAGTTAAGGATTAATTTAAAAAGAAGCGAATTTGATTCCTATTGACGATTTCCCCGCTTTGCTTGCGTGGGAACACTTGTTACCATAATTATAGTAATTTCCTTACAAAAAGAACATAGAAAAAAGTGGTTCGAAGATGGACACCATTTGAAGAAATTATCAGCAGACGAGCTATAATCTTTGTATATTTCCAGCCTAGCCAAACATAAATATTCCTAGAATAAAGTGGAACTTAATCAAATTAATAGGACGTACTCCCAGCACCAAAAATCAGGTACATTTACCATACTTCTGCCTAAAATAATGTGAACAGTGTATGATCCGTTCGAAGATAATAAAAATGTTAAAACGTACACACTTTGGTATTAAAGAAAAAGGATTACTTAATTCTTAACTACGTATGTAAAGCGTATTCAGAGACTATTTCCTTTTTTTGTTGTTTGTCCTTGCATTTAAAATCGACATGTAAGAAACGGTCTCAGTAAAATAATATGAATTTTTTTGTTCAAAGCTTTGTCGATAATTTCCGTTAAAAAGTAGCTTTACCCAATCATAATTTCCTCACAGTAGCACAAACGTTCTTGTTACTTTGCCAAAAAACAATCAAAGTAACTGCTGGCCAGGTGATCCTCTTCAGAATTCAAAGCACGTCTTGACATCAGGTTTAACGCGGAAAGCAACATAAAATATCATGGATGTCCAAGATTTTTCGTCCTCCACAATTTTGATGGTTGTACTTTTTCCTTTACTGGGCGTCTTCGCAGTACTTGGTAATGGTAGCGTTCTTGGTATTGTTGCTCGGTTTAAGAAGTTTCGCACCTTCCCAAACATTCTGATAGCCAATCTAGCGTTGATCGATTCACTGAACGCGCTCGTCAACATTCCTATGTACCTGCTTTCGGGTGTACTGGAAGTCAAATGGTTTAACGGATCACATTTAGCGATTGTTTCGCTTTTTATATTTTTTCTATTTATGATCCTCAACCTCGTCTCTATGCTGGTACTGCTGGTAAATGTGTTTTTAGCGATAAAACTAAACATGAGATATTTCACCTGGAAGACGAATGAAAAAGCTTTGGCAATAGTCTTGGGTGAGTGGTTGGTGTGTCTTATTGCCGTTGCTTTGATGTCGTGGTCTGTTTCTGATATCGACCTTCAAAATGCTCCTGTATCAAGATACCGTAAGGTTTTTCTTGATGAACTCAAATTTGTAGGTCAATCAATCATTGGATCTTTCCTGATCGCTTCATTTGTATTTGGCATCCTGATTTTCTGCGCAATTCAAAAGAAGAAACAACAGGTAAGGCGAAGACATCAAAGGAGATCAATTGATTTTCGTAATTAAAGTTCACATCTCAGGTTCTGTGGCTCGAATTTGTAAAACAGATATGTAGATAAGCAGCCGCTAAAGTTAATTTAGATAACAGGACGAACTTTTCGATAAACGGGGCATGAAGTGTAGGGGTACCGGAACGCTTAGAAACTATAGGGAAGACAAAATACACCCTATTTTTTTATGAAAAAGTACCCAAGTCCATTTTTTCGGCCGTGAAGTAGAAGGGGGAGGGGAGGCGGGGGGGCTTTTTCCATTTTTCGTAGTAGCCTGCGTAGTAAAAGAGCCCAGTGATAAAGTAGGTCTCAGTGAACAAAGTTACAAACTAAAAGAAAGTGGAAAGGTGTGGAAACGCATGTGAGATTTATCCAATAATTACCCAGTTTCACTTAGACAGGTGGTGACAAAAAAGGTGTTTCTTAAGATCGCAAGAAAGTAGATTCACCAAAAATCCTAGCATCGAAGTATTATGTTAAGCAACATTCTGACGCTACTTTAGATCAGATCTTTTTTATGAAATAATTTATCACGGCTATTAAAAGACAAACATACAAAACTCACGGAGGTTATTTCCTAAACACCACACTTAAAGTTCCTCGTGTCGGATTTTCAGTAGTACAAAATTCGGCTTTGTTCGATTTTAAAGGTTTTTGTTTATTGCTGTCATAGTACTATCGATTTTACATCAAACTGCATTTTGAAAAACTTCAATCCAAATTCAGTCAGTGGTGAAAATCTTATAGGGATCAGACAAGGATAAAATTACTTTAAAGATGATTAAAAAAAATCGGTATGGTCTATGAAAAACTGTATCGAAATACGTTAATATCGATTGAAGTAATGCATGTTCGGCTTTAGGGAAAAATTATCAGTAGATCTGGTTTTCTTATGATCTAAAGAATTACCCAGATCGAGGAGGCATTCCCTCAATCTGCATAATTCTTCATATTAAACTCAAACTTATTCAATAATTGCTAATTATCTGAAACGTTTTCCCCTTAATTCATGTAGAGGAAGCAGCTAAACTTGCCTCGACTCCAGGATGAAGCCAGACTTCAGATGGATATCAAAGCGGCTAAAACAGTCATCATTACTATAATGGCATTCTCTGTCTGTTATGTTCCAAATGTATGCATTGGTATCTGGATTCTTTTCAACTCTGAAAAATTCGTGATGTACGTAAGTTGGCCTGGTCAAGTATTCCACCTTTGCTTGTTTTTATCCAGTGCGATCAATCCTTTTATCTATTGCCTCCGACTCAGAAGGTTTCGCTGCGCACTGAAACAGCTTCTCAGTAATCCCTGCGGAAGAACCCCTTTTCAAGAAACCAACAATAAGCGACAAGTACGACAGAGAATACCACATCAGGTTTCAAGAGGAGAAAAAAATATGGATGAATCCAACCAGGCAATACTAATGTTGTTTAATAATTCAAACCTCCGCATAAGAAGAATGGCTGTCACACCTCGAGTGTCCGAAACGAGGGAAAGAAGTGAGAAAAAGGAGAAAGAATGTCTACCGGGCGTGGGTAATCAAGTAATGACCCTCTCAATAAAGGAACTACAGCCTCCAAATATCCCACGGTTGGCCTGGGTGAAGAAACATTCCACAGACTCTGCGGGGACAAGCCTCAGAGAGGAAAGTCCAACACTCAAAGCAGACAACACACGACATGTAGTCACCGTGGAGGTACACCGAGTACCTAAGGACAAGCCAATGAAGCAGAAAGAAGCGCAACTGCCAACGCTAACTGATGAATATGTACAAGAAGAGAGAAAACGTTGAAAATGTTCATTCGGGGAAAATGGACTGACAGCCGCCAAACCAGAATATTTCAGTCAGAGAGTACACTTCAAATCACACACCACAAAAAACTACTGAAGAGGTGGGTTTAGTCTCCCGACCAATGCAGAACATTCAGGGAAAGTCATTGAAGAGGAATACATAGATCCCAAGGAGAAGCCACCAAACCAGGAAAACAAGGAAAGTTTATCGACTGGTACAGATACAACCGGGGATTTAACTGCAGAAGGACAAGCAGTTCCCAGTGAGTTATCATCAAGCCACAAGACAATGGAAAGTTTACTGACCAATGCAGATAAAACGGATGAGTTAACTACAGAGGAACACGCGAACCTCAAGGTTCTGAAGCTATCAAACCAGAATATGGTGCAACTTTAACAATCAGTGCAGATAAAACGGGCGAGATTACCGCTGAAGGAGAAGTGGTCAGAGCCAATGAGTTATCATCAAACCAGAAAACGATGAAAAGTTCCCCGACAAATATGGAGTAGGGTCATATCATGTAAGCCTTAAATAAAAGGTGACTCACTATTAATAGTTTTCAGTATTTTTCAGCACTTCTAACTTCATGGATCAAAAGAGTCTCTTTCTCATTTAATGCTACAATAATTGCACCGAAAACGTCTAAGGCCCTGTTTATATGGAGAAAGGTTGTCATGGGTGGCAGGATCACTCTTCTTCCCAAGCTACACTGCATGGGGGAGCCAACACTGTTCATAGATTTCCTTACAAAACGTAGCGAACCGTTTACATAGCTAGCCCGGCTGGCTTGGGCAAAGGGGTAAACGTTTTGCTCATATAAACGCTCGCTCAAGTTAACTAAGCTTGACCTTTCGACCAGGGACAACGTTTCTCCATATAAATAGGGCTTAACAATTATAAAACAAGTCATCGTTATTGTTTTCCTTACAATAACCTCGGCAGCAGTTAAGCCTTCAACTTAATTGAAGTATTTATATAACTCAAAGCAAATTTAGGTAAGCCTTATTTTCTTTTATTGAATTGTAAGCAGTATGTAGAGGATTAACTGTTCAGAAAGGTTTTTAAAAGAAACTCTAATCAATGGATTTAGAGCCACTAAAACTTTTCGATAATTTAAGTGGCTCTAATGCAATTTGATAATGAAAATGGGGTCCACTAAAATGATAATGAAGACAACGAACTAAACTCACTATTAAGAACGATCCCTGGATTAGATGAGGATCACCACAGTTGGGCGAGGCCAATTTCAGGAAAATCCGGATTATAAACCTCGGTGAAAGATCAATCCGCCTGGTAACAAATATGAGAAAGTTAATGTTAGTAGATACCCAAAGATATAAGGAAAAATCTATTTATTGTGAAACAAAACCGACTGCATGGCTGGCACTTCGACGATGAGCTGATTTATTTGAGGCTTTGAATAAATCAGCACTTTACCATGGTGCCATCCTTAAAACCGGTCTGTAAGATTCGTTCGTATCGTTCAGAATTGTGGAGTTGTGCATTGGAGACCAGTAGTCATGTGTGTGTACGAAGTTGAAAACGCGTACGTTTTAACTTTAGAAAGTTAAAAAGACTCGTTTGGACCTTGTCGAAGTATACATGTCCCTCTTTTTTTTATTCACTATTAGGCGAAACAGCCAGCTGACCCATCACAAACAATTAATACGAAAGATTCGTTAGTTTTCAGAGAGTTTCCCCCAAAACTGGTTCCGTGTACTAATGCTTTATCACCATTGGTCAATTTGAGACAGACCCGATAGTTCATTATGTATACCCAGTTCGTTTACCTGGTCTAGTACAAAGAAGGGCACACGATAAAGCCATTACGCATCTAGACGAGCCATCTTAGATTCAGTTCATTTTAATAGCCACACTGTATGAAATAGCTCCCATGTTCCATGCCCATCCACTTTTGCCCCAGTTTCAACCTCGTCCCCCGGGCTTTTTCCTGGCAAAAATAAACCCTCGGAACGAGTCCAAGTTCGTCCCGAACAGATGCGTAACTGCATTGTTCGCTGTAAGCTTGAAGTACTAAATTATTAGTATGTTGTCATCGCGTTGTTTTGTTCTGACTTGGGAAAGAAAACGTTGAACCTCCCATAAGCAACCACCCTTAATGGCAATATCTAGCAGTCTCTCAAGCATGCGCAGTCGGACCGTAGCGGTCTCTAACGGAATCGTCCTGACTAGTCCTCAGTTGAAGCGAAAAAATGATGAGAATTCGTTGCATGTTTGAGGTTTTGGTACCTCTTAGGAGTTAAAATGAATTCCAGCCTCGCCTACCAAAAGTCGGTCTGGTACCTTTTGTTGTCGTTGTTTTTAAAACTTTCCGACGAAGACTCCACCAATAGATTATCCCCAGGATCCACTGGTAGCTTACGGGACGTTTTGGTTGGGTGTTCCCTGTGAGGGCACATGAGGTTCGACTGTATTTTTTAAAATAGGTACAGTAGATTATTTATCGAACAAGTCAAGGACAGCTAGTGGCTGACTTTGAGGTTGTCGAGTATTATGCACGCAATATACATTAATAAGCAAAGTTCAAAAACAGATTATTTATGGTTTAGAAGTGTTGTCTTGAGTTACCTGCGAGGCATTGAACAGGGAACTTGAATTAGCTGATTTAAAGCAAGCAGCCTGATAACGAAAGTTTGAAGGTCTTACCTTTCCAGTACTACTCGCTCCTTGGCTCGCGAATACATCATCGTCGTCGTCATCATCATCATCAACATCATGATCTCTTAATTATCATAATTAGCTTCATCTTCATCGTCACTTTCATCATCATCATCATCATCGTCATCATCATCAGCGTCATCATCATCGTCATCAACACAATCACTTTCATCCTCATCATCACCAGTTTCCTTTCCCCACGTTGGAAAAACGGGGTAGAAAGTCATTCTTCTCCTAACTTTTTTAAAAGTAATTTTTGGTTTCCGTAATCCATAGTAGTCCTCCAGAGTTGGTTGGCCGACTCCAGACCTGAAGGGCCTACTCTCAGTCTGGCCTCTCGCACTCCAGCATAGTTAGACCTACCAGCGGTAAAACCCCTGCCCACATAGCTCTTGGGCTCATGAAGACGCCAGCTTCCCCACCATGATAAGGTGACAAGCATAAGGAGAAGAGCCCGCGAATACAACCCCATGTAAGTTGGTCAGACGGTGAAGGGGCAGGGGAGAGGCGTTGGTGGAGGGGAATAACTTCGATTCACTGCAACTGAACAACTTAAGAATCAACAGTCACCCCACTGCCCACTTTAAAGAAGTAGTTAACAAGACGGCTCTCAGTTTCGTCTCAACAGAACTCTTAGCTTGGGAAGGGGAAGGGTGAAGCTTGAGGGTTGGAGTACAAAACCCATCTTTAAGGCCAAATGTATTTAGATCCCAGATTCCCATAACTTTGCCTCAAGGAAACCGTGTGTGCAGAAATTCCGGTCCTAGTAATTCAATTGTCATCTTCCGAGTCCAAAATACAAGCCAATCCCAGTTCTCCTTTTACCTTATCACTCGATAGGATAAAACGGGAACTGGGGTTTGGTTTTATTTTAAGAGTGACAAAATGTGATTTGAATTCCTAGGACCGTCTTTCGCTCTTTCACTCCTAGGCCTAGTTATAAAAAAAATGATTCGTGACTCGAACTTCTGCGACTATGGACGAAATCCTTTGGTGTTACCATTCAAATGAAACCCCTTTAGAAGACATTTTGTAAAATCACACTCATTTCTTGAGATTTTGCAAAACGAAATTTGAAATTTGTTGTGAGTTCTCACTTTGGCCACTGTTTGCAGTGAAAGGGTTAAGATAGGCAAGTGCATAAAATGACGTTTCAAACTGGACGTACCAAAGAAATAATGTACATTATGGAAAAGGTTTTTCACCAGGCATGCTAAGTAACGGAAAGTTCCTGAAGATTGCAATAAACATAAACTAATTCTATCAATACAACAAGTCTGCCAATCCAATGACACAAAAATGACACAGATTATATCAAAATTTCAACCAACAAATACTTTATTTGCTTTTGTATTTTTTTTAATGCGATAAGGGGAACGGTTCCCCTTGCTGTTTCGAAGCTGTTAGTTCACATGTGGAGTGCAAGCAATGCTGAGGAGAAATCTCTCCAACGTCATGCAGATGTGTTTTAGGGTTTACTGTATTCTGTCTCCAGGGTAGTTACCTAGATGGAAAGAAAAGACTACACTTGTAAGACAACGTTATACCTATCAAGGAATTTGTACAATCAGTAAATTTTATTCTTGATGCTGGCCACTTTTGCAAGCAAGTTGGGACCGATAGAAAAAAAAAGGATGTCACTTAGTCTCTCAGAGGGCAAATAGAGGACAAAAGCTGCCAATACAGAGCAATTACAAGGGAGTTTGTTTATTCCCTCAAAATGAAAAAAAAAATAGTTATAAAAAATGTACAGATCAAGTTTCGTCGAGTTTCACGTCATTATTGCTTACTTCTGGGGATATCTACGGTTGCTACTGCATCTAAAAATGACACAATAAACATCTCTGCGTATAATTTTACTGTTATGGTCTTCAATAGCTCTCTTTTTTGTTGTCGTTGTTTGATAAAAAATAGACAAAACTTGACCGCCATTGCTTGCATTGGCAGCTTTCATTGGCTGTCTGTCCCCTGGGCAACAAACTCCACTGATTCTTAGTGCATGTTCAAAGATGGCAATGATAGCAGTATGCTCCATGGACGAGTCGCAGCCACTTAAGATTTTTCTCCAGTTGTTTTAATTTATGGTATCTTAGGAGTGAAAGAAGCAAATTGCCATACCGGGGATGCCGTAGACAGGCGCTGATGCAGCAGAAGTGGGAACAGTGGCACCTTGAATGTACATGACGGGCTGTGGAAACTGGGCGGGGCCAGGCGTCGTCTGGGCCTGATGAGGTCCAGCTCCTTGGGGCTGGCCAGGTAGTTGAGGAACGGCGCCTGTGAAAATAAACTGTTGTCCCTGCTGTGAGGGACTGGGTTGAGGTTGGCCAGGAGGCGTTGCAGCAGTCGGCATGTTGCCAGTGACTAAAGGAAGAAGCAAAATTATCATAAAAGATTGAATGTTTTTAACCCTACACACTCATCAAAGCAAGAGAGCCAAATGTCTTCATTAAGGTGTTTTTATAACAGGTTATTATACTACTACATGAAAAATTTCTGCAGTTTGATTGGCTTAGAGCAGTGGTATTTCAGCTTAATTTGAAATACCTACATGTGAAAATTACAAAACCTTTGCGAGTAGTAGTATAAACAAATAATAGCATGATTTGTACATGATATTTGGCATAAATACCACTAGTGATATTTCAAAATTGTCTCAAATTTTGTATAACAATTTCCAAACATTACTCGTGGCATTTATGGCAAATATCACTACAAATCATGCTATTTCCTGCACTAAGTCGCATGTGATCCGACCCTGTCCAGCTTCCGTAACATACCGTAAACGACCTAATAAACGCCCACTTCCAAATAAACGCCCCCACTACGCTGTTAAAATTTTATTAGACACCCCTCTTTAATAAACACTCCCTGTCTAATAGACGCCCCCTCTGAGAATTACTCCAAAATACTAGGAATCAGCAAAAAAGAGCAAAATCATTAAATTCTTTCAGTTTCTTAGTAGTGGGGTAGGCACAGAATTAACCTTTTTTTGGGCAGAAATCTCATTAACTTGCGCAGGAATACATTAACGCCAATAACGTCATAGCCTATTGCTTTTATCTCATGAATAAAATGAGCAGGAATCTCATTAAGATAAGGTCATGTGATATTTTTAGTGGGTTTAACTGGTTTTACAGATTTGTTATTCTTAGATGGATGATGTCAAAGTTGATTTTAATTATGTGTGTCATATCCTTATGTGGGTATAACGTCATTGTTTATATTACTTTAATGAGGATTTTATATATAGATCAGTAATCTGAAGGAGGAAAAATGGGTATTGAGCAGTCTTTAAAAGTAATAGAGCTTGATCACTATCGTATGATGGCGAGGACCAAACTCTCAAAAGAAGGAAAAAGGGGCTGAGGCAAAACATGAAAGCAAGGTCGAAGCGTAGCGAAGCGAAAAACTGCCTGTCAAGTAAAAATGTCAATCTTCGTTTACTTAACTCTGTAGAAAGTATTGTTCAGGGAATATAAATTCTATAGAAAGTAACAGGTGGTTCTAAACTAAACCCTTACTCGTTTGGTTTCTTAAATAATAAAGACACACACCGTAAGAATGGGAATTTATGGCTGGATAATAAACGCCTCCTATCTATTAAATGCTCCCGTATGGACCCTTAAAATGAAATAGGTCACTTGCGGTAAGTGCCTAGTTGTAAAGCTCTAATTTCTCCAAGAGTTTGAAGCAGATTTGTACCAAACTTAACGTTTTCACTAAGTTCAGTGAGATAAATCGATCCGAGAAGAAATATTTTGTAATGAAAAGCATAACAAAAAAAATTATATTTTGCATAATATTACGTTAAAAAAAGCCCAAGTATGTCCAGGAGAGCTATGACTACATTTTCCGTTCAATATAAACTATAATAAAAGTACATTTACGACCAATTTAATGAACCTTATGTTACACATACCATAAACTGGCATATGGGAACCATCCTGGTAAGCCTGTGACATGGGAACAGAAGCACCACCCACTGGGGATGAAACCTACAAAGATAGAAATATCTCAAAATGAGTACCTTGATCTTCTAAAGGAATTAAGGTATACCATATTTACCAAAGTAAAAAATTAAAGCAGAGAGTAATTCATTTTATTGACATTAGAAGATGAGCATACCGCGCCGGGATGCATGTATCGTGGAGGTCCATGTCCTGTGGGAACTGCAACAAACTGGAAAAAAAGACAAGCGTACAAAGCAATGTAACGTATTAATTATCTTAAGAAAGGGTGTTACAAATATCTTGTTTACTGCATTACATGTACTGACACCACAATTGTAAACTGATATGATGGCAAGCAGAGACAAGAGACTAATAAACACTCCATGATTATGTATTGGGTCATTCAGTATTTTGCATCTGGCCTTCAGAATTATGGTCTTGCTTATGTGCAATGGACTTACTTACAAAACAATAGGCGGCATTTACCATATATGGCACATGCAGGTAGTTTTACAAAGATTCGATGATATGTTGCCAAACTTAAAATCGTAACCTCATTTTCAGGCAGCAGCGCAGCAGCCTAGCTGTTTTGGTATGAGTAAACTCCACTAAATGGTTGAAAAGTTCCTGCTACTTGAAGACGAAATAGCCAAATTACTGACTAAAACTGAACGGAACAAATGTAAGAACATAAAGAAGAAAAATTGCTGGATGAATGACTTGTTTTTCTGCAAGGAAAAAACCATCTGTAAATATGAAACTGTACCGAGAAAAAGGAAAATGTTTTGAAAAAAGTCCATTGGGAAGGTAGGGTGTTAAGAACTTAGAGGTATTTTGAACAATCAATAAAACAATTATTGAAATTGGCTTTTGTGTGACAAGAAGAATTATGCGGATCTCAGAGGCTGTTAGCCACCTCAGCCCTTCTTGACCTGCTTCATTCTTCATATTATGCTCAGCCTTATTTCAATAATTGTTAAATGCTAGATGCTTGTCAGAGAAACAGCATATGAGAAATGATTTCTTTTAATATGTGCCATCCACTGACCTGTGGCACCACTTGCTGGGGTACCATTCCTGCTGGTGACGGCACATATGCGACTTGCGGTGCAGAAACAGGGTAAACTGGTTGAGGGAATGTGCCACCTGGAGCAATGATTGGGCTTCCTGTGGCAGCAGCTGCTGATATGAAGGGTGGTGACTCGCCTTGTTCGCGCCCAGGATATGTTTGACTCCTAGCTGCTGAAACAAAGGTGGTCTTGTTATAAAGACATTGTGCTGCTTCAAAGGATTTTCATACTCTCCCATGGAGGGGTTATGGACTTAAACCCTCCATCCCGCTATGCTTGAGAAACCCAAGGAAAATTTGGCAGGGGTATCTTTTGGAAAACCTAAGTTGCAGTAACTGTCGGAAAAATCATGTGTCCATTTCTTGTGACTTATTGTTGAGAAGAGAAAAGACAATTTGGAGAAAATTTCTTAAACGAAAGTTCAAGTGTTAGGGTAAATATAACAACAAATTGAAAGATTTCCTACTGCCATTACTGAGCTATGGATCACAGAAATTATGTCACATTGTTCAAAACTTTCCATTGGAATCACTTGGCAACATTCAGTCATCATTTCTAGGACCCGTAGTAGTGAAGAAACTGGAAAATTAATCAATTCAACTACATTCATATTCCTGCTCAGTTGTATTAAGATATGGGAAAAAAACTGATCAGTGGACTAAGCCAAGCTGGGAGAACTTGACTTCAGGGTTGATAGTAATAAGACCCATGTGATTTCTGGGTGGGAGGGAAGCTGTTCACCTCTGGGTGGCTCTGCTGAAAACTGAGCTAGAATGAGTGATTTCCATTCCAAATTAGCATTTATCATTAACAGTTATGTAATTGGATGTGAAACCATTTGACTAGCCACGAAAAACCTGTTAATTAACACACACTAAAGACAAAATGTAAGCAAAACTTACGTTTATGGAATGGCTGTTTTCCTCTGTACATATTAATCTGCTGAGGTGAAACCATCATCAGCTGCTGAGGAAATGGAGCACCAGGGATGGGGGGAGGCCTCATTGATGTCGGAGAGAATGGCTGTGTTGCAACCATAGGGACATAATGTGGGGAAGGCTGAGGTGAAGGTGCAGGTTTCTGGAAGGATTAAACACATGTAATATCAGTAATGACTGCTAATCAAGGGTACTTACCAAAAAGTCAGAATTGTCTGGCCAAACAGGTGATTTGCAGTATGCAGAACTGGTCTTCTCAGCCAGTTCTGGCAATTGGTCAGTGCCCTAAGACCCAGATCTGATAAGGTGCTTTTCAGGATTACCTTGAATAAATGAAGGCATACCTGAAATAAAGCCTTAAGCAGGGTTGTCACTAAGATTTCAAGTTGCCGGGTAAATACAACAAGTAGGCGGGGAATCAAATGGCTAGGGATTTCTTTTGGTTCTATTTTTCTTCTATTTTCCGATGAAAGTAGCCGGGGGCTACTCTCTTAGTAGCCGGGGAAAATCCCCGGCCCCCGGCTCTTAATGACAACCCTGCTTAAGGTGGCTTATCACAGTTTTCGGATGAAAAGGATGAAAACTATCGACGTTTTCAAACTTTAACTTTTTTAACAATTGAAGGTCTCTACTGAAATGTTAATAGACCTATTCGGCTAACTCAATGTTGTACCCAATTCAAGTGTCCCGGGGATAAGATTCTTTGTGTATTGTATTTGCATTATAATGTGGCATTCACTTTTAAATGATATGGAAATTCCTGAAGAAAAAAATCGTTTTATTCCCAAAGGGTTTGAATTGGGTACAACATTGAGTTAGCCGAATAGGTCTATCACTGCAATTGATGTTAATACATCATTTTACCACCTAAAAACATTTGATTGTGTAGTATAAAGTGAAATATGGATCTTTAAAGGCTTTTTTTTGTCAAAAAAACTAGTCATACAACCTGGGTTTAAATTTACTGTTACTTCTCTTAAAAATGCTAGATTCTCTTTATCATTACCTTATAAGGCTTGCTAATCAAAGGAAGAAGTCGTATAAGTAGTATATAAGAAGTCACTTAAGCCTTATTCCACACACCCCATCATTACAAATTCCATGGAAGGATTGGCATCTGAATCAATTACAAAGAATGACTATTTTCAAAATGGAATGACTCAGATGTTCTTCCCACCTGGCTTAGCTAAGAATGCAGACTCTGGAACGGCTTTGATTCAGATTCCAAATATTCATGTGCCAAACCCAGTGCATAAAAAAATATTACCATCATTATTAATCAGGAATTTTTACAATTTTTGGCTATAAATTGTGTTACGTTCAGGATCTGAATCAAAGAGCATACTATTGGGGTCAGCCAAATATCTACACCATCTGGGACTAAGCTTACGCAAAAATTAATGACAGACAAAATAACTTAACATGCCATCAATGCATAAAATCATGGTTACTTCATTATTCAAGTCTTAGTTTGTTACATTAATTTTGAAACAGCAAAATTATTTATTTAACTTATTTATCTACATTTTTTCCTCACATCCACAGTGATGGGTTATCCCCTGTGGGGATTATCAATTTAGATTTAGATTTTGAAATTAAAATGCCAAAAACTGTTTTGATGTCACAAACATAGCAGAACATGGTTGTTTACTCTTTATGTCAAAGCAGTTCCCAAGTGTCTGTATTTGAGACTTTACTTCAACTTGATTTAACAGACCTAGCAAAATGATTCTTCTCATTAGAATATAATAATGGAGTTTTTGTTATATATAAATAGTTATACAAGTAGAAAAGTTGAGCACATTAAAAGAATAACATACCTGAGGTTTAGGAGTAAACTTGAACTCTTTGGCCAATGGATTTAATTTTGATTTTGATAAAATGCTACAAGAGGAAAAACAAACAACAATAAGGTTATAAGAAGAACAAAAGTCTCCTTTGCCTACTAAAAATAAGACAAGAATCATAAAGATTAGTGTTCGAGCTGTTCTCTTGAATGCAAGGATACTCATCACGAAGTTAATTTAGAATGGGCCTTGAAACAAATGCGTGATCAGACAGGACTGTCCGCATTTTAGACTTTTCACTGACTACCAGGGTAAATGGTGGAGTCAAGATGATCCTTACTGGTGAGACCTTGGATCAAATCCTGTTGTAAGACCATTTAAAACCAAACCTCTACAAAAAATTTACTTTGGAAATTTTTATGTTTTTTTGTTGTAGTTGTTGACAACATCTGGGAGGAAAAGGGTTAATAACAGAGTGTACAATTAGCTGTTACATTAAGCTATGTTTTGTACAACATGTCTTGCATGACACAATAAAAGTTTGAGATCATAACACTATTTATTGCCTTGTGTAATAGGACCTTATAGAGAGTGTATATATAAGAGTGTACAATGTATGCCTTAAAGTGAACACAAATAATTTAAAAGCAATATTGTTCTCTAAGGTTTCTAAGTTGCTTTCTTGAGGTTTACAGGACCGTTCTGAAGACCACGTTTGCGTGAATGCACACTGTTTAAAGATGATTATTTATTTATTTATCTATTTACGTATAATTCACCAGGAATATGTCACAGTTGTATATAATCATAAAGGGACATGTGAGCAACGCAAAAGTTTACCTTTCTTCTTGAGGTTGAGGAGTCTTGCTATCTTCGGCTTTGGCAACTTCAGCTGGCGGAGTTTCTGATTTGAAATTGAATTAAATAGACAGGAACAAATAGCATTTAACCAACTGCCTCGCTTAAGTGGAAGGTGGGTGCCTGGGATACCCAGGGGCTTCCACTGTGGCCAGCCAGCCCCTAGATAGAAAAACTGCCCCCATGGCTGGCAAATCCCCGCAACCCAGCCATGAGCCCCCATTCCAGGCACCCGTCACACTGATCAAACAGTGGAAGGAAGAAAAATAGGGATGGGAGGGGGGGGAAGACGCTAAATGAACCGCTCCACAGACCACTGCACAAACGCTCGATGAACAACTCGCAGATCCTAGCCATGTACAAAGCTACCACACACCATGTGAGCCTGCACTTATGGGATTGACCGCTGGATGCCCGCTTACGCTCGTGGGCCGCTTGACCGCTAAGCTTGTAGACCGCTTGACCGCTAAGCTTGTGGACCGCTAGACCGCTTAACTTGTGGACCGCTCAACTGCTAAGCTTAGAACCGCTTGACCGCTATGCTTGTGAATTGCTTGACCGCTACGCTTGTGAACCGCTTGATCGCTAAGCTCGTGGTGGTTAACTTAGTTAAATTACATTTAACCAAATTTAACCAACTGCCTCGCTTAAGTGGAAGGTGGGTGCCTGGGATACCCAGGGCTTCCACTGTGGCCAGCCAGCCCCTAGATAGAAAAACTGCCCCCATGGCTGGCAAATCCCGCAACCCAGCCATGAGCCCCCATTCCAAGTCGAAGGGACTCTCCGAGCTGACGAGCCAGATCGGAGAGGGAAAGAGGGGCTCAGGGCTGGGGAAGCCCTGGCCCCGAACTACCCAAGTCCCGAGGCACCCTACAAGGACAACTAGGAAAAGAGAAAGATACGCAAGAAAATACCTGTCAAGTGAGAAGGCTTGCCACCCCCACGATAGTACTGACAGGAGTGTGAATATAGATCTGATACGCATCGCTGGACCATCTGCCAAGTGTCTTGATGAGGTGATCTGGTAAGCCACGAGAGGCTGCTGAAGTAGCAGCGCCAATGCGGAAGCTATGACCGGTGTAGCAACCAGTGACCCCAGCAGCGGAGAAGATAGACTGAATACTGGATGTCAGCCATTGGCGATGTAGAGGGGTGCCATCAGAGAGAAGGAAAGTGGGCCAGGAGTTGAGCCACGGACGTGTAGATACTGGGTAAGGGCGGCAAGACAGGGCAGAGATCACGTTTACCAGCACCAATGTAAATATGGCAACCTTGGCGAAAGGGGTCCGTCTTAGAGCACTTAATATGAATCCTGAAGCTGCTAGGATTGACTAGGGAATCTGCTTGGACATCACTGACAGCAAGGTGGATGTCAGGATTGAAGGGAGAGTTGACAGTAAACTCACCAGCACGTAAGAAACCAAAAACCCGAGACAGCAGGCAGCCCAAAGCATTGTATGGTTGTAGTCAGAGAAGTTCAAGGACTGGAAGATAATGTGCATCAGCTCGATTGTGATGGGTTGGCGCTGACGCTTATTTGAGCCTTGGTGACGTTTGATGCCCGCAACACCCGCTGTAATCAAGGCAACCAACCAGCGGAGAAGGATGACCCTCCTCAATGTGAAGGGACCGAATTGCTGAAAGGTAAACCTTTATGGATGAATGGTGAAGAGTATCAGCAAGATGACAGCAGAAACGGATGAGCACGTCTTCACTGGCTGGAAGAGCTGATCCCGAAGGAGATAGGCTATTGTCCTGAGCACAGAAATCCAAGAAGCGGCGTTGGGCAGAAGCATAGACTTTCCTAGTGGAGGGGCAAGACCCTGAGTCAAATAGAAGTGGTATTTATCTGACAGCGAAGATCCAAGTCCGAGAGGAGCTGCTGTGGAATCTGGGTTGGAATGGAGTCTGCAAGAGGAGCTAGCCGGTAAAAACGCTGAAACTGAAAGCGAGACAGGGAGTCAGCAATGGGGTTAGACTTCCCTCTAACTGGGGAGGCAGTGAAGGAGAAGGAGTGACGAGCTGCCAACAGGGACAGATAGCGAACCAAGGACATGATGGTAGGGGCTCTTGAAGTGCCAGACCGCAAAATGTCCACCACTGAGCGGTTATCTGATAGGAAGTTGACCCGTTTGGAGGCCCACTGGGGGCCCCAGAGGTAAGCTGCCACGACGATGAGGGAAAAGTTCCTTGTACTCGATAGACTGAGAGACCTGTGATGGGAGCCATGCACCTGAAAACCAGTGACCCTGGAAGACTGCTCCATAACCAAGAGCCCCAGAGGCATCTGAAGAAACCTCAAGTCAGGAATTGGAGCCCACTGGGGGTACTGAAGAAAGCTGCAACCATTCCAAGACTGGAAAAACTCTTGCCACCAGGCTAGGTCAAGAAAGAACTCTTGATTGAGATTTAATCGGGTGGTCATCGCGTCGAAAGGCACATAGTAGGTTAATCATTCGGGCGCAAGAATGAGCGACTTTGGGGTACGACTTTGCAGGCATGCTGAAGGTGACCTATTAGGGACTCCAGATCCTTGCGTTTACACCAACGCTTTTGTGACCAATCTTCCAACAAGGCAGTTATCCTATCAAATTTGTCCTGAGGAAGGCGTGCCAGCAGATTAAGAGAGTTCAGTTCAATGCCCAGGATGGTTAGGCACGTCGACGGCCCTTCTAGTTTGTCTGGATGGAGGGGATGCCAAGCTTAGAAAAACAGTCAATTGACCTGTCCAGATTATGTTGACAAACAGAGGAGCCGGGAGGGCCAAGAGTGTGGAAGTCATCAAGGTAATGCATCAGGAAGGTGACATCGTAGTTTTGCTTGGCCACCCACTCCACTAAGTCTGCTATACATGTGAAGATATATGGAGCTGACCTGACACCAAAAGGCAGGACCATATCAACATAAAAGGCACCACGCCATTTCATACCCAGCAACTGGCGATCTTCTGTATGGACTGGCACTGTACGGTATGCATTTTGCACGTCAAATTTCGCCATGAGGGAACCCCGCCCCAGCTGCATTATGCCTGCAATAATGTCATCTACCTTCATGTACTGCAGAGAATAATCCTCGCCCGCAATTCCGTCGTTGACACTGTGCCCGCAGGGCTAGACAGGTCCAGGATAAGACGCCATTTGCCAGGTTGGTGGCGTTTGGGGATGACGCCGAAAACGACTCACGTGGAGGACAGGGAGGGAGGCTGGGAGAAGGGCCCGCCACCCTGCCTGACTGAACTTCCGACTGCAAGTAATTGTCAATGACCTGAGGGTTCAGGAGTGCTGAAGCCATATTCCCTGTTGCCGACTTCAGGGAAGTACTGTAATTGAAACCTAGGTGAAAACCATCGCGAAGGCCTTGGACCACATATGCAACTTTGTCTGGGTTAGGATGATGACAGAGTTCATGCTGGAATCTATCCACATTGATGGGAGTAAGCTGAGAAACTGGTCTTAAAGGACAAACAGCTGGAGAACACAACGAAGAACTGGAACTCGGCAGACCCTGCTGCTGAGAAGGTAACACAAAAGGAGAACGCAACTCTAACGCTGAAAAATTACCATGAGAACCAACGTGAACAGGAACAAAACTATTTACAGTTGAATTGGCTAGAGGTTGCCTAGCGACGGCGGAGACCCCCTTGACTGAGAAGGGGAGCGGGACCGTTCTCTCTCCCGGACCGGTGAGGGCAGTGGATGCGGGGTGGTCCCGTGGCACGATTCACAGGAGTGACGAAACCGACAGCGACCAAAGGGCCAGCGACAGCGCCCGTTGTTCCAGGAGTGGCAATACTGGCTAGACCGGGATTGCCTGAAGACCCAAGAGGCTCTGATAGTGACGAGGCAGAGGAAGTTGAGGAGCCTGAAGCAGTTGAGGTGGTCACTGGAGATCTGGTGTGAAAGTTGTAGAGGTCTGGGTGCATGCGAGACCAGTCGGTTGAACCTGAGGCTGCGGCTTTTTTTCGAAGGCGATGTCGTAGTGGAGCCACGATTTGTCAGAAAAGCGCCTTGCTGTCTGGATGATGAGTAACTTGTACTGATTTAAATCTTTCCAGCGAGAGGGGAAGGTGTGGCAAAGAATCATAGAAAAGATTGTGAAGGCTTCAATCCAGGTGATGATGTCTGCTATTTCAATGACCCGTTTCTTCGACCCTGATACCACCAGTTTTCCTCAAAAACGCTTGGGGTTCGATTTCTTGAGCTCTGATGTTGTCCGGAAGGAGGTCAGCCAAGTCTACAAAAAGCCCTGCGGTAATTTTAGAAACAAGCTTGAAGGGGACTGGAGCATAGCCAGGGCCCACCACAAATGCTTTATTGAGGTTTGGAAGCGTAGAGGACTCGGTTCCGGTCGCGCCACCACAAGAGCCCCCAACCACTACAGGCAAGTTGGCGGAGGACGTGGCGGGAAGAGAGGAGACTACCGAAGGACCGCCAGATGAGCTGTACGTTGAAATAAATGAGGGCACAACAAGCGTACCTAAAGACTGGGAGGTAGAGCCAGGGGTACTGGAGCTAGAGGATGCCGGAGACTGCGTAGAAGTCGAAGTCGAGGAGAGAGGAACAGACGCCGCGGCCGTGTTCGAGTTCCCGCCACTGGAATCTCGAAGGGAAGATAGCAGCGGAGGGAGCGATTCCGCGAGAGCTCTTGAAATTGCCTGGGCTAGCGCGTTGGTGTCCGGCAGGGAAACAGGTTGACTTGGCGGAGAAGCCGAGGTGTTAACTGTAGGAGCTGGGGTAGAACCGCTAGAAGAAGGCGAAGACGCGGTAACCGGGGAAGACATCGTTGACAGGCTGTTGTTCGTGGTACGCATCCTGAACGAACGTGACGACCCGCACGCTTTGAAAAATAAATGAAAGAAAAAAGGATACAAGAAAAAGCACACTGTAAGACTGACGCTCCAAAGATCGCTAAAAATGGCGAAGACGCTAAATGAACCGCTCCACAGACCACTGCACAAACGCTCGATGAACAACTCGCAGATCCTAGCCATGTACAAAGCTACCACACACCATGTGAGCCTGCACTTATGGGATTGACCGCTGGATGCCCGCTACGCTCGTGGGCCGCTTGACCGCTAAGCTTGTAGACCGCTTGACCGCTAAGCTTGTGGACCGCTAGACCGCTTAACTTGTGGACCGCTCAACTGCTAAGCTTGTGAACCGCTTGACCGCTATGCTTGTGAATTGCTTGACCGCTACGCTTGTGAACCGCTTGACCGCTAAGCTCGTGGTGGTTAACTTAGTTAAATTACATTTAACCAAATTTAATGCCTTGTTCAAATAAGTCCCTGTATATAAAATAATTTATTATTTATAAGGCGCAAAATGGCATTTAAATACGATCTAATGCGCACAAGGCGGTATAGTGAAGGATCTAATTTGTACTGCCTGGAATGCTGACTCTCTCTAATACAGACAGCATCAACAATACCGGCATTAAGTGTTTGTCTTGAACATTTGTCCACCTCATAAAAAACCAAAAGCAAACATGATTGAAAGAACATCAGGGACCCAACCTAGATGCCTCTCTTATGGAGGTACAGTTATTATACTGCAACCTCACGGTTCTCTCCTACCCATCCCTAGCAAGCAAGAGAGAGAGAGAGAAAGAGACCCTGGTTGGGTCTGGTCACGAGTCTCCAGAACAAAATTTATGCTGAGGGAGGACGCAGCCATTTTATGTGGTCATCCAAGCCCAAGAAGGTGTAGCTGTTTGCAGGCCAAAGGCAGCACCTTCATTTCTCAACCCCAATTATTAGTCTGGCCCTGTGAATCAAAATATTGACCTCCTACTCTGCAGTCAAGTGCTCAGCTGACTGAGCTAATCCTGCCCTGGTTAAGAAAAGCATTACATCCCAAAAACAGTCCAAAAGTGCAATTAAGACACTACCCCAACCATACTAAAACCTCAAAATGACCAGTAGTCTCACCCACCCCCTGTTGTTTTCAACTTCTTCTGGGAGAACTGCTTAAGAAAAATTTTGGGGGCAATGAGCTAGAGTCTACATGTATCATGGAACACTCGAAGATAGTAACTTGTGAAACATATGATAAGCTGCTCCCATCAGCAGTGAAGTTGGCAAGTGTACATACCACTAGTTCGTGCAACAGCAGACTCCACAGCCTCAGGTTCAGCAGCCACTTCTTTAACAACTGCTTTACTGACTTCCTTGTGTCCTTCCTTATGAGCTTTCTTTGAGGGCTTTTCGCCTAACTGTTACAAAAAGTACAGAAGAAAATAAATAAATAGGTGTAGTGACAACTAATATAGGAAAATTCATTTCCTGACAAGGGAGTTCCGTGTTAAATTGCACACAAAAACTGATATCGGTTTTCAAGTGCAATTTATAGATGAATTCACCAGTCAGGTAAAGGATTTTCCTTGAATCGCATAATTGAATAAAAATAAGAAAAGAAAAGGAAAAATATTGTTTGTTTTTATCCTGAGCATGTGCTCCAGAAAGTCATTTTCAAAGTCAAATGTCAGAACTGTCATTGCATTAGCGAACAGGAAGCAAGGTCAGTTGTACATGTTTAAACCTTCGACTACCTTATTTGTACCTTGTGCTTGTTTTTACTGTTTTAAGAAGTGAGCATATTCTCGAGAAAGGAACAGTACGATTTCTGGTATGTTTTGAATCAAGAGGACCCTCAGTAATAGAGTGGTGTGCCTTACGAGAAGTTTCACTGTAAAGGGTGTCCGTACTGTTACATTGTTATGATGTAATCAAAGCATTTTAATGGCTGTGGTTGCACTATGTGTAAAAACTACTATTTACATTGGTGTTTTTCAGTGTTTTTAGTGTTTTCAGTGTGACCGACTTATTTTTGCACTTCGGATGTAAGTGTTAGTTGCTCGGGTAATGTGGCATCTAGAAAGAAAATTTACATGGTGTAAACCACGCTAAAAAGCATGGTAGAGAAGTGTTCACATCAAGGTTAATTGCTTTTGAGCCAATCAGAAAAAGGACTGGAAACTGCTTCGCTTACTACCTGGATTACATGTCAGGTCATTTCCAAACTCATAGCCACAGACCAAAAAACACGCTAAATCTGTATCACAAAAAACGTGAGTTTTCCACAAAGTGTTTATTTGTCTCTAGGACCAACAGAAGAAGGCCTGTGGTTGTTTAACATCTCCGTGAACATGGATAGGCCAATTATTGGTCATCTCCAATGAGCCATTAGCCCTGAAGGAAAACATAAGGAGCTATCTTCTCGGAATCAACAATAGACGTAATTGTAAGGCATGCTTCATGATCAAGGCATGGAGATAAAATAGCCTTCACTACGTAAACAATAAATTAAAATCGCAACTTGCCACCAGAATGCGTTCATCTTGCATGATTTTTTCTTTTATATAAAACTTGAAATCTCATGTTCATCACCCATCTGTCACCAAGTCAAAAAAATCAATTCTTATGCAAAGGAAATGCGACCCTCAAACAGTAGATTTAGTGTTAACAATTAAACGTAAACAGATACGTTTACACTGCTGTTACTCTAGAGGTAAAGCCTAGTGCAACCGCAGCCAATATTAATTTTAGGTGGTGTTAAATTTTCATAGTACATTTTAGATACTAAACTTAATAATAATTAATGAGTTAATGAGCAATGAAATAACAAAAATGTGTTGAGAAAAATATACTGACCTTAAAATTGGTATGAAAGTCCTTCAGATCTACAAACAAAATTAATCATTGTTTAACAGATTACCCTCATAGTGGTATAACTATGATGATACCGATGAAACATAACCAAGAAGCCACTCTCACTGTATTTGGGGGCAAGGGAATTGTGCAGTTGGTTCAAACAAATCTTAGTGTTCAAATTAACATTCAGATGGGAGGAGTTTGCTGTTGGTTCTCACCCTTGTTTCAAGTTTTTTTTTTGTTGTCTGGATTCTCTACCCTTTCTCCTGTCAAAAATACAAAAACTTTCAAAACCTTTTGGAAGCCACAGGTCTGTCAGTCTGCAGAGACTTAATTGTTAACCACTTTCTTAATAACAATTAATAAAGTCATAGTATTTTGTGTAAGACAGACTGGAGTGAGATAATGTGGGACATATGTCATTGTTTACACAAATCTTGGGGGATGTATTATTTTTAAGATTTTTTTTACTTTCCACAGATTTTGCATAGGCAAATGACAACTCATCACCCACTTGCCAGAGGAGAAAAATCCTAGGATTAACACCATTGGAATTCACTCTGTAACTTATGATTACTACTATTAGGTCTTTTACCTTTTACAACTTCCTGTTGAGATTTGGGAGCTTCAGTTTGTACAGGTTCCTTAAGAGAACTTCTCGCTAACAAGTCTTCACTTACTGGCACTTTTGACTGAGAAGTTACTCTACTGGTAACTGCAGAACTGGTCGTGACAGTTGTAGTGGTAGAGGTGGCTTCAGGCTTTAACAAAAACAAAAATCAGTTACTGTTAAGAAAGCACAAGTTTAGTAAGTAACAAAATATTAATAGAGGTGCAGTCTAACAGTTTTGACATGCAGTTTGACAATAATTTGTACGACCTCATGTACATTGTTCCACTCAAAGAAATACTGGTTCTCTCTAAAGCAGACAAGGACAAATCCAGGATTACAATTTCCACTCTACAATATCATAGATATATCTACACACCCTACCTCTGACCAAAGGGGTTAGTTAGTTAGATTGATGCTACAATAAGGGTTTTAAGTATTATGAGTATTATATGGTGTGTAGAGACAATAGAAGCTGCTCAACATTAGAAGCTGCTTCTAATATTATTATAAAGTGATCTGAAGATTTTTGTTTCCCTTAATATGCACAATTCATAGGCACGTAAGCATACCTGCCAACCCCCCAAACCTGGAGATGTCTAGAAATCTTTGCATTGCAAGAATGTAAATTTCAACAACGTCTCGAATACTCTCCGAAAGTCACCCGCACGCCTTCCGAATGTTCCTGACGTCGATAACGGCATGCAAAAACAGTGCCAACTTCTACCATGTATTGTGCAATTTGATTGGTTGATTTCAGATCAATTACAATACTTGTTAAATATGTAACAATTTGGTTGGTCTGTTTTATGTTTTCCGATCAAGAACAGTTCAAATAAGAGTACTAAATCCATTTGTTTTATTTTCCTTTTTGACATCTCGAAAACGACGAAATCAATGAAAAAAATTTGAAAAAGGCCATGGTAGGTACTTTCCGGGAGATTTGGTGCTCTAACAGGGAGACTGGGAGATATGATGAAAAACTTGGAGACTCCCGGGAAAACCGGGAGAGTTGGCAGGTAGGATGTAAGAGTGGTTTCGCTGCACTGGTCGACTGTGTAGTCACCAGTGTAACTCTATCGTAACAGGTTTACTGTCTGGATGATTTTAACTGTACTGTACGGTACTGTACAGAACCAATAAAATCAAAAAATAAAACTACTTACTGCCGTAGTGATGGTAGCAGTATTAGAAGCAACATCTTGCCTGTCAGTTGCTGTTACTGTCACTGGAGGGGAATCTGCTAAAAAAATTGAACAAAGACAAAGAGTGGTTTAAACCAAATTGCAATGAAACAGAACAGTAATTACCATTTATCATTCGAATAATTTTTTCTTGAGCTTTGATTAGTTAAGAGGGCATTCCACCACTACTGATGACCCCTCGCAGATAGTGGGCCGAGTTATAGGAAAAAAAAGGATATTCTACTGCAGACCATGCTCTGCTCATGTGTCATTTGGTTCCTGTCTTTGGGAGACAATGGTGGCTTCATATTTTACAAAAAAAAAAATTACATTACAAAACAAAGCAAACAAACAAATAGAATGATAAAACAATTACTGAACTCAGTTTGCAAAATATTACTATTTTGCCAGAGTCTAGTCAATCATTTGCCTTTGCCATTGGCACTGGCACAGTGTTCTCACCAGGATTTTGCCTTGGGGAGTCCCAGGGCCCCCTCCTCTGAGAAATAGAAGCCCTGTAAGAACATTAGGGGGACAAAGTTACAAAAAACACACGGTACGAAGAACCTGAGCCCGCACTCCAAATTGTCTGTTACATATGGCGGAAGAGGTGTTTACGATTCGGAGGAGGAGTTTACGATGTAGTGGGACGTGCGTGGGACCAATGAAAGCAAAGGCAACAAAATTAAAGACTTTGACTCATTTGATATCATGTTTTTTATTTATTCAAACAAACAGAATGCTTTAGTGTTAGGTTGACCATTAAAACTACTTAAGTCCGTTTGACTCGTAGCTTGCCCCTGCGCCCTAACGGGCCCATCTTCTTGGTTTTAATGCGCCATTTCAGTTTTTCTTGCGGGAATCCCGCAAGGCCGCGGCCTGGTGAGAACACTGCTGGCATATAATATTGACTGTAGCCAAAAGGTATCTGTAAAATACATTGCTACGACCTTTGAGATTGTAGAACCAGTAAAACACAACTTACTTGGCTGTGATGCTGGAGCAGTGGTCTGTGGTCTCACAACAGCAGCAAAAGCCTCTTCCTCGCTTCGTCCACTATCAACTTCTTGCCGACGGTTATGACCCCAAGACTGTGTCAGGAATAAAGTGAGAATTTGCATTAATATATTATTACTTTTGGTTTCGATTAAAGTACAATATTTGAGACACTGAAAGGTTCTTTTATCCAAAAAATTGTTATGCTACTAATATAATGCTTGCCACTTTAAAAGGTACACCTACAGAATTTCTAATAAAATTATCTAATGAAAGCATACCCCAAATGGGCAAATCTGCTAACTTTAACACCTATGTTTAACTAACATAAAGTAAGCTTTGATACAGAAATATTAAGCATGATGGTCAGTTTTTTACACCCATAAACTGTTTTGCTTGGCAAAAAAAAAATTGCTGAACTTTATATAAAATTTTAGGACTGAAGTAGTAATATTATTGCTAAAAAATCCCTAGCCCCTTTCCCTTATAAGAATTTTGTTCCTGTTCAAAAGCTGGGGACAAAATACAGTGTGCTTCAGTTTGACTAACTCACCTCTTCAATTTCACGAGCTGTTTGTTCTGCTTTTAGCTCCATTTCCCCACTGCTGTCTTTAGGGAGTGGTGTCCTGTTTAAAGCAAATGACCAAGTTATCTTAGTGTTCTTGACCTTACTATAACTCATTTTACCCAAAAATATTCCATTTGAAGTTAATAGTGCCAATTTTTTGGTCCCTACCTGGCCAAAAAGAAAAAATTGCACTCAACTGGTTTTGCTCAAATTCAGTCACTAGACTTCACCATTTCATTGGCAAATGATTAATTTGGTAGAACTGGGCTACTAGGCCAGTGAATTCTGTTCTTAACTTGCCCAATGGGCAAGTGCAGTTTTTTACGGAATTCAAATTACAGAAGAACTGTAATCAATGCTTATCAAAAATTCCTTTTGTGCTAGTTGAAATGACTTTTGGGCTACTAGGTGCTAGCTACCGCTTGCCCAGGCTATAAAACTGACTTTCTTTGCACCCTGCAATAATACAATATGGGACAAACAGCTCATTATGTTGGACAATTAATTTGAACACATCATGCCACCTGCCCACGGAAGTTTTGCCAAAACCTGCTTTCTCTCCTACCAGCTTCTCCCAGACTACAGTTACCTCACTGGTACTTAATTTCATGTGTCTTTAATTTTTTGCCTTTTTTCACAATTGTAAAAAAATCATGAAACTAAAGACCTGAGAATAAAAATCCTTGGGAAATTTAAACATGCAGAACTTAATACCCATGTAGAAAATTCAAATCACAGAAAATCAATTGCCGAAGGATGGAAAGGGCGGACATCAGTGAAGTAATTGATGGCTCAGAGGAACTGTCCCCTGAAGAGCCATTTGTAGATTTGCAATTATGAGATGATGTTTAGAAACATTGCCGCAGGGTGGTTTGCTGAGTGAAGACAGCACCTGCATCCACAGTTAATATTTAAGACCCTGTGAGTGGAAGTATATATACCCACATCTATTATGCTGAAGATGAATGCCTATCAGCTGAGCTGTGTTAGAAATTTGCTGCATTAACCTCAGCTGTCTCTTTGCTATTTGAATCTACACTGCTTAGAATCCATAACTGAGCTAACTGAAAATCATAAATGTAGGAAATTATTGTGAAAAAAGTCATAATACTAACGTGTATTGATGTAAGTCATCAGTGTAGGTTGAAGTAACTCCAAACTTTTCTCTGTTGGTTTTGAACATCTCGTCTGCGGACCAGCCATTCTGAAACCAAGAGGTAAAAACTGTTATTTCATGTGCAATAAAATCTGATCCCTCCCTAATACATCTGTTTTACTCTACGATATGCTAATAGAGTGAAAATAGGTGATTGTTTAGAAAAACTGGAGCAAGCTTCAATGGAGGTAAGAAATACCTGAGTATCTTCAACTTCCACATCTCCGGTTGCATATTGACTGAGTCTTTGTCCCATGACAAAACAACTTACAGCCATGACACTTCAAGAACACCACTTAATGAGGAACTCATTGATTTATGATCAAATAACTTTGATCACACTCACTAAAAGGAGTGGCTTCTGTCAATGTTTTAACTGACTGGAGCAATGTTTTTTTTCTTACAGTAAATGCTTTCACTCTACAGTGCACAAGTTTAGTTCACCGAAAGAATTAAATTTGTCACCCTCTTGAAACAAAATTTAGCTGAATGGTCAATGAATGATGCCCGAATGTGGAAAGGACCTGTCAAAATCGTGACTGGTAGAGGCTGAACAGAGATGTTGCATCAACAAATGTTTGAGAGCAACAGAGGAAGTAGAATCACTCTGTTAAGAAGCCATCTTGGATGTTTTAAACATGATCAGTGATCTCAGTTAAGAAATGTCAGGTAAAATCAACCATGCATGGACAAAGTAGCAGGTACCATTCAGTTGCTGGTTTGTGAATGAAAACAAAGCGGATGACAAACAGCAATCAGCTACATAGATTGCACATGACAAAAAAAAGACATTTAAATCTGTTTGGCTTAAAACAGCCTTGGTATCAGTTTCATGAAATTCTTTCAGTTTTTACTATAAAAAAGACAGAAAATCTTGACTATCTAAATCAGCATATGCTTTGATAAAAAAGCTACAATCTGTGTACATTTGGCAGACCAATAAATACAAGGCAATGACAAAAAGATTTCAACATTAGATGTACACTGCATGGTAATGTAATGTGATATGAAGAATGAATTTGTCTGAATTTCATTAACTCAAGTGATTTACACAAATCATAACTGATTGCTTTTATTGTGAGCATGACAGCCTGCAGTATATGCAACACATGAAAGTACTAGTCAACAACCTTCACAAAAATGGAATACACTGAACAAAATTAATGATCTTCTTTCTATAACTTAATAAATGTTCTGAGCAAATAAGATTTACACAGTGATGTGTCAATCTTCATTCAGAGAGCTGCCGATAATTTTGATCAGTTTAAACATGGCTCATCATCTGAAATGTAAATTCAAACTTATTTTCTTCTTTGCCAGTTACAACTCTCTAGATGCATCATCACCACCAGATAATATGTTGCTTGCAAGTAATACATACCATATATGTTGTGATTCAACTTTATCCTTTGTTTTTAATTTTAATTTTCCATAGCATTTTGTATGGTAATACATGATAATGTGCAAGTAACAATGGAAAATGAAATTTGAACCAAGGATAAAATTGAACCACAACCTATGTACAATTCTTCTCAGTTAAGTTGAACACCTCTAGGACTTGCACTAAGTGTCTGAATTAGAGACTAGCTGCTATAAAGGGAATCAAAGAAAATGACTAGGAAAAGACAGGGACCAACTCAAGGTGTCCCTTTTAGCGAGGTGTCTGCCTCATAGAGAGTCAAAGAAAATGACTGAGGAATGGCAGGGTCCAACTCTAGGTGTCTGTTTTAAGGATGTGTTCTCCTTATAGAGAGTTAACAAAAATTAACTGAAGAGCAGCAGGAAACAACTCTAGGTGGGCATTTTATGGAGGTGTATGCCTTATAGAGAGTCAAAGAAAATGACTGAAGAACAACAGGGACCAACTCTAGGTGTCCCTGTTAGAGAGGTGTCACTGTTAAGCATACATTGTAGAAAACCAGCATCTAGGGAAGAAGAACAAATTCTATTTACCACATGCATATCGTCTTCCAGTCCTCGTCCCAAGTGAACCTCTCCATCCTGAGGTACCCATTTCTGCAAACAACACTCCACATAAAACCTTTATATATATACGATAGCTACTTCCCCTTAACAAAATTCACAATAGTAGTAATAGGACTGAGTGGAGTCCAATTCAGTCTGTAATCATACAAGTGATTAACAAAATCGGACAATCACGTAGCAGGGGTCTGATTTGTTTAATCATGAGTATGATTACAGACCAAATTGGATGATGTGAAGTTCTGTTACCAATTAATCACAACTGCAACAAAATTTGTGATATTTTAGGCTTTTTTTAAAATTCAAACAAGAAATTTTGAGAGTTGTTTTTTGCTAGCAGTGAAAAAAAGCCATTTAAGCACGTGCATGGGATGGCGCGTACTGTCCAAGCCAAGAGCCTGAAAACCATACCCTGTTCAATGGCACTTACCCATTTACGCTAAATAAGAGAGTGCACCCCCACCCCCTTCCCCGTACAAATACAAAACCATTGCAAATCTCGAATAATTCATCTCAAATTTCATGAGCATTGCATGACACAGTTTCTGAAAAGGTCCGCCTGCGATACACTTCTTAGATAAACCACAAGAAATCAACAATAAAAGTCACGCAACATTCAACATGTATTTTGCCAGACTTTTCTGATAAAACTACAACAACCAGTGGCAAGTTAAATGAATAACAAATTCTCAAAACCATAACAAATTCTCAAATTTGAAAATTAGTGTTCGAGTACAATTTTTGTTACTTGTGTACATGCACTTTGTCAAGCAAAAAAAATTAATGTTGAATTGCATAATGCATACCTGAAGTGGTCGCTCCGTCGTTTGACCATTTGTCTGCTTAGAGGCCGTGATGGCTGCATCAGTGAAACTATCTACATTGAAAACATTCAACAAATACAAAATCCCTATTAATATGATGTGTTCAAGAAAAAAACCTGAGACATAAAATGGCAAAATTACAGTGTATTATGTGGTTCAAATTAAGATTTTGTTTTTGTCACCCTCTTATTGTCAAGTATTTTCAACGATGTCCTCTAGCACAGCCTGGTAGCCCCTCGCGACTACAGAAATTCTTGCCATTTGGGCAAAAAGGAGTTATAATCTTCCCTTAAAACTAATTTTTGTTGGACAAATCAAAATTACAGGCGCACACTAGATCTTGTTGAACTTTATTCCCTTTACTTTGATACATGTGATTTGTAATATTACTGATACATGTAAAGAAGTTATCTGTTTAATTGAAGATTTAAATCTAAATCGCATCATAGTTATTGATGATTTGAAAGATGGACATGATGTTTACTGTGGAACTCAGAAAACTGTGAACACACAGGGTGTAAAGAAAGTCATTTTTACAGCTTGCCATTCAGGCAAGCTGAAGCTAGCATTTACTAGCCCAAACGTCATTTCAACTAGACCTAAAATTTTTCGATGTGTAGAATGAATGATTTTCCAGTAATCGGAGACCCATGTTTTGCGCACAGGATTCTGGGATCGCCAGGGGGCAAACATTGCGAGTCGCTACAAAGAAATGTATGGCGTGGAGTTGTTTCTCTGTTAAGAGCAGTGTCTTTGGACAGAAAATGCCGCATTTTGCCGTGATTTTATGAGAAACGGAGGTGACTAATGTTGGTGCGTTGAAATTTCAAGTTTCTGTGTGATTAATGCGATAAATTCTGTAGATAAACACTCCTTGCATGAGGTTGAGGGTGAAATTTATTTACTGAATTTACACAGTGATCTACACGAAGAAAAGGTCTCGAAATATATAGTGCAAATTTAAGTATACCTGTAGGGGGATTGTCTCATTTAAACATTTTAAGTTATACTTACATGTACATGTGATGATATTTACGATGAGTGTAACTACGCTCGGCCGCGATGAGCGCTATGCGGTGCTGTGCGGGTTATGACAAGACAACAATCATAGGTATGTACGTGGCCATAAAAATAAAAAATCCTCCTTCACTTTGGTATAAACAAAGTGACATCTACGAAATTTTTCATGGAAAGTACATTTTATTTAACCATTAGTAGATGAGGCAGAAATGGTACGAACGAGTAAGACTTCCGATAAGTTGATGTGTGAAATTCAGAGATTCTTTGTCTTCCCGAAAAATGATTGGAGAAGGCATTAGAACTCATTGGTGCTCTGGATTGTGACAAAGCATTTTGCTTGTGTTTTAAATTTTTTTTTGGCGAGAAGAAATCAATATACTAATGTGGGGAAGACGTTTTTGTTTTTAAAATTAACACATATCAAATTCGACAATTCGATCGTTCTCATAAACCAGCACAGCATTGTCATCGCCGCTGAGCGGAGCGTAATTACACTCGTTCTAAATATGGGCACATGTAAGGACAACTGGAAAGGCTTAAATGAGTCCGCATTCCCTGCTCATTTATACCTAAGTTAGTACTATATATTTCAAGACCATTCAGTAAATTTCACAGTCGACAGTGAGTCGACCTTACGCAAGGAGTGTTTATTGATAGATTTCATAGCATTGATCGCACAAAAACTTACAATTTCAAAGCACCAACATTAGTCACGTCCGCTTCTCATAAAAGTCACGGCAAAATGCGGCATACTCTGTCCAAAGACACTACTTTTAACGTAGAAACAGCTCCAAGCCATACATTTCTTTGTAGCGACTTGCAATGTTTGCCCCCTGGCAATCCCATAATCCTGTGCGTATAACTAAGTCTCACATTACTGGAAAATCATTCATTGATTTCACAATTCTTCTGTAAGTTGAATTCCTCAAAATACTTCACTTGCCCGTTGGGCAAGTTAAGAACAGAATTCACTAGCCTGATAGTAAAATCCACTAGCCCCGGGCTATCGGACACTACTTTCTTTGCACGCTGACACATGAAAAATTTCAGGAATGTTGATTGTGAGGTGACCAATCACAATAACATTCAGGACATGACAGAAAACCTCAAAACCACAAACCAACTACCGTTGCTGTTTGCGGTTTAGTTTCCTCATACCTTATTGGCTATTTCCTTGCAACACAAAAACATTCCATAAATATCTCTGGTGTTCACGGTTTTGTGAGTTTCACAGTAAGATGCCTTTAAACAAGAGTTTATGTTGGTCAGCCATTGGCTGATGACTGCGTGTTATTTGCAGCCTCACCCTATATTTCATAGGTGGAGGGCTTTTACTACAGTTTTCTTAGAGGACAGTCTTGGAACGTACATGTATGCCATACATGCAGTACAATATGCAGGGAGTTGCCAGGGGAATAATGTGATAATAATAGTAAAATATTATTGTTATAATCATTGTAATAATAAAGTTTCCATACGTACCAGTCATAGACGCAATGTCTGGCTCTTCCGTCTTTGTGATGTTTACACTCACAATATCCTTTAGGGCGATCAACAGATTAGTGATTAAACTCTCCCGACTAGGCACAATCCTTCCATCCTAAAATACGTATACACAATGTACAACATGAATTTTTTTTGTCAACAAGTACATACAACAAACAACCATAGTATTGAGAGATTGTGCCACCTGATAGAGAACGTTTTCACCTTTTGCTTGTCCGGGGCAATTTTGCTTGCTTGTCTTAGCTAATGATTTAGCTACAACATAACTTAAAACGATAATTGTCCAGCAAGAAAATCCTGTGTCTTGTAAGACCAGACAGAAATTTTTGTGTGTCCTGCTCTGACCATGCTTAACAAGAAGCACAGAGGAACAATATTGCTGTTCTGCACATCAAATATTGTAATAAAAAAGGTATTTACAACAAAATATTTTTGACAATGACTAATGGTTTGCACACACGTACTCCTTTCTAATGCATTTAAAGAGGTGTAAGAGCTTAGGGAAATGTGAAACCCTAGGTCAGCATCACAGTAATTCAGTTACATCCATGTGAGACAGGTTAAAATTAGACACAATAGCATTTAAGTACACTATACATGGTACACACAAACCTCAATAAGGCCATTTGTCTGTTTTGCAATGAGATGAGCCTCGCCCAGAGTACAATCAAACTATTAAAGAAAATCAATCAAATCAAATTGATCACTGCAAGCAAAGTTAGCAGCCTCAAAATTGGAAGAAGTAGCTGGAAAGGGACGTTTGAGTACATGCTACCCCAACAGTTTGTAAAAGTTTACGTATAGGTTTTCCAAAATAACATTTCTTTGACTTTGAGAATAATTGCATAATGATTTTCACAAAAAAGGTATAGTCCCAATCTATCAGAAAACATAAATATCACACAGAAAAAAATTATCAAGAGCTCATCATTAGTCCATTCTTAAATGAAAAATGAACAGAAAAGTTAGCTCCGAGATAGCTAATTAAGGTGATAATCTATTTAGCTTGACCAGTGCGTCAGAAAAAATAATACTAAATATAATAATCACCTACATTTTCATTGTACAAAAATTATGCTGCCAGTGGCAACTGATTTATTCTCAGGTCAGTGAGCTATGGTACATGTATGCATCCATGATAAATGAAACCAAGTTTTCTAACCACATGTATACAACTTTAAGTCATTTCTCTCCTTAATAAATCGTTAATAAAGTACTTTTTCACTGAAGTCGAAATTATAGAGAAATTAGAGATAGCTATTAAATAATTAAAGTATAAGTTCACATCTTACCTTTGGAGAAACTGCCTTCAGTACACCTTCATAAATATCACCATTACGCACCACTATGCGAGCAACCTCCCCCTGAAATTTAAAAAGGATTGAACATTGCTATCTATTTAAAAACTAGTCTAACACAGAGGAATTTCTGATCTTTCCCTGCCATTAGAAAATATGATAAATACTCATAAATAAGCTGGACTCAGGGCTCAGCCACATGCCCAACTTTCAAATCTGACTTTGAAGAAATAAAAGTATTCATTACTTTTATTCATCCTTTTTCTAACTCCAGGCTAGACATTTACACCAACCAGGGAAGATTGTCTTGTAAATAAACTGCACCCACCAGTTTGAGCCTAAAATTCACCCAAAAAGGTGCTGCTTACAAGACACAATGAGCCAGCTGGAAGAGTTCTGTTATGGGAACCTGATGTGTCTAAAAGACTAGGAGACCCCACTTTTATCATGAAGAGAACCTTGGAAAATGATACAGGATTGGAATCAAACACAAGATCCATAAACCACTATCTTACACAGAGTGGCAAGGGAGGAGAACGTCAATGTGTCACTGGCTTGCATCAGATGCAAATATAACTTGAACCGGTATAAGTTAGAAGTAGTAAGTGTGTTTTGAGTTTTAATACCATCAACTGACGTGATACAACTCACTTTGACTCTGAAGATGACTACCACACAGGTTGTCGAAACGTTGGTCACTGTCAATGACAACAGTCCTATTCAGGACTACATTCACCCGGACGATCAAACTAAACTTACTTTTGATATGTTTTGAGTTTTACTTGAAATCAAAACTAATGAGTCACAGAGCAGAGGTGCAATGAGTCACAAGTCCAGCCCAATGTACAACAACAGCATAAATTTTGCTGGAATATAATCATCAGCTGAAGGTGAATTGATGTGTTACAGGCCATATTTATATTTAGGTTAAAATTATTTAGCCTAGGTTGACTATCCTTTTTTCTTTGTTTCCTTGCCTTGATTATTCATGAATTGGGGCTAGGAGACAAAGGAAATTGAGAATCAACCTAGGTTAAAAAATTTTAACCTGTAACAGATGCATCTTTATGTCAGATGAACTAATTTCACCATCAAGCCAAGCCAAGATTTGAAACTGAAAATTAGTGAAGTTTTGGATAAAATTAATGAATTCCCACAACTGCAGAGGAGTTGAAAAGAATACCAGTATGCAAAGGATGTAAATACAAGGACTGTGGCATGGTAGTGAATAGTGCTTGTCTAAGAGTGGAATTCTGACAAAAACACAACTAGTTTTACCCTGCAACATTCTCTCAAGGAAATTCTTGTCTGCACTAAAATTCCTTAAATCTCGCAACCAACGCAACAAAGCAATTAAAAAGCTAACTGGAAGGTACATGTTATTTGCATACAATCACATTAACCCTTTGGTGACGGCTGGTGAGTAGTGAAAAACCACATTTCTCACCAATTCCTCTACTTTGGCCTCGGTTTCGGCTAATTGGCATAAAAATGGCTAAAAATATTTTCCAACTAATCAAAAGTACAACAAAATTCTCAAATCTGATTGGCTATCAACTGTCCTGATTTCAGCACTAACAGGACAGTGTAATAGGACAGTACACGCCATCCCACGCGCATGCTTAAATGGCTAAAAAAAACTCTCGGAATTTCTAGTTTCAATTTTTAAAAAAGCCTAAAATATCACAAATTTTGTTGCAGTTATGGAACGTCCTGTCTTCAAATTCGATCTGTAATCATAATCATGATTAAACAAATCAAACTCCAAATATTTGTTGTCCAATTTTGTTGCTCACTTATACCATGATTACAGACCGAGTTGGACTCCACTAAGTCTTATTACCATTATTAATAAGGCATAATTAAACAGATTTTCTGTTTTTCACACATGCGCACAAGCCAAAATTTGGACTTTTTTTGCAAATCTATTTCAATATTTCTGTCTCGCTCTCTTCTTTTCCTTTGCCTTTTTTATTAGCAGTTTTGTTGCCCACTTTATCATCTTTCTTTTGAATGGAATTGTGGCTGGCTAACTTATTAGGAAAGGGAGAAATTAATCTTCAAAGAGTGGTAGGTAAACAGAGAAATTGGCAGCGGATTTTTACCGAAAAAGTTACCTTATTTTGTGAGTGAAATTCTATTAGGATTGGTCAGAATATCCAAAACAAGGTATCGCTGGAAAGGTCTATCTTTACGGACATCATTGCTCACCAATTTAACTTAAACTGAAAGCTAAATGGGTCCAGGAAGGAAAATATGCATTGTTCCATATGGAACGAAAACGAACAATCATCGAAGCAGTCATCGAAGGGTTAACTGTGTTTGCAACAAATCTGAGTTCAGATCTCCTTTTTGTAAATCCTGAACACTGATCACTCATATAATGAACATACATGTAGAAGCTGAGGACTCATAGACTCTATTATAACACTGTATTTGGAGTTTTCCTTAATGCTCATGACACTTACCAAGTTACTGGTCACATAATAGACCATAGCCTTGTTGGCATAAATATCTGTGTTACCAAAGCCATCCTCAAACTATAATAAGGGCAAAGAATGAGAAATTAGCATGAGATTGTGAGACTTTTATTTTGAAGAGCTGAGACATGTGAGAATATAACAATCGATCAGGTAAACCTCCCGATTCAAAGCAACAGGGAGGTTAATCACCACTCCCTAAAAATAATGAGACTAGAAATGAGACTTCCAGAAAATCCCTTGAGGTAAACTTGATCTCAAGAAAACAAAACATCTCTGAAATGCAGACACTTGGACTGATCTGTTTCTTTAGTGTCCACAACAAGGAGTTTCACTGATGGCTGGATATGAACGTGGCTTGTTAACACGAAATCCATCAGGAAATTGAGTAATTTTAATTTTCAGTAAACAAAAACCTTGAATAACATTTACATTTTTCAAGTGCTATAGATGTAATTAGTTATGTGTAATAACACCAAAGAAAATTTCTTATGGGAGCCCAAGAAAATGAATATCAAATTTCACAAGAATTTTGAGAAAATAGGTAAAGTTTGGAAAATTTTGTATGCAAGATTTCATTTGTGAAGTTTGACATTTATTTCCTCAGGCTCCCATAAGAAATTTTCTTTCGTGTTATTACAGGTAACTAATTTCATCTATAGCCCTTGAAAAATGTAAAAAAGAATGCAATATTAATTAAATTGTTCTGGTACAAGGTTTTTGTCCACTGAAAATCAAGATTACTCAATTTCCTGGTGGATTCCATCTTAATGTTTTTAGGGATTGAAATCACCCTACATCCAGCCCATTGGAGGTCAAGCTCCCAAAGCAATGTAGGCATCAAAAACAACAAATATCAGGGTATCCAAGACATCCCTGTAATTTAACGGCTTGTAAGGTTTCAGTTTTAAAGTCTGTGTGGCAAAAGTGTGCCTCTTTTCTCTATGTTTGTCTGTCCAAACAACGAAACCATAAAATAACATAATTTTGTTATCTGAATTGGTCAATTAAGACGTTAATCTACCCAATGATAAGGATATTTGACCTCTGATTAGTCATGGGTTAGGTGATAAACTCCCTTAGAGCAACCTAAATTAATCTTAATCACTGATTAAAGATTTTAATCTTGGATTAGCTCTAATCAGGGCTTTAAATAACCAGGATTAGTTGTGTAGCAAAATAACTGTTTCTTTTGTCTCAACCAAACCATGCAAAGAGTACATTCAAGGCAAATTTACAGCTTATTACAAGCAACTCCCATAATTGTGGACACCCACAGGAGTGTAAGTTAGTTTCTATAAGTAGCAAGAGTCTCTTACTGTGGCCATTTCTATCAATTAAACATCTGCAGTTTATTTCAGCCAGGGATTTGACTGCTTTATTTTGTAACTTCAAGGAGTCCACAAGGCTGAAGACCTGGTCCAAACACTTGTCTTTCATAAGCCATAGGACATAAAAGCGATGACTGATAATGTTTATCGTACAAACACCCTTATATTGAAGTCAATTAACATATATTAGGACTTTTTATATGAGAAAAAGGAAGACATGTCTCACATCAGACGTGCTTTAAATAAGACACAGATCCTACTATTTATTAATCATAACATTAACAAAATTCTCAAATCTGATTGGCTATCAACTGTCCTGATTTCGGCACTTATAGGACAGTGTTATAGGACAGTACGCACCATCACACTCACGTGCTTAAATGGCTCTTTTTCACCTAATAGCAAAAAAATCACTTGGAATTTCTTGAGTTTTAAGTTTATAAAAAGGCCTAAAATTTCACAAATTTTGTTATAGTTATGATTAATTGGTATCAGAACTACATGTTGTCCAATTCGGTCTGTAATCATACTTGTGTTTAAACAAATCAGACTCCCGCTACGTGGTCGTCCGATTTTGTTTATTGCCTGTGTGATTACAGACCAAATTGGACTCCACTCAGTCCTATTACAGTTACTTATATGATCACATAAGCTATATGTCTTAGGAAAGTCATGTGTTATTCAAGACACAAAACTATTTTCAGCACCATTAACACTTGAAGGTCTTTTTTTCCTGGTATATATCACCCAACTGTGCTTCCTCGATAATGTCGAGCTTGATAGTGAGTTAATTGCTTTTGGCTAAACGGCAGCTTATATTACTTAATTTTAAATTACAGATAATACAGTCAACAAATAAAAAGAACAAATAAAAAACACTCAAACCATTTGAGGTGTACTCACATTGGAAAACTGGGTAGAAGGTTGGGGAGGAGAGCTAGAGCCTGTTGGACGCTGATTTCGACCCCTAGGAAAACAGAATGAAGATGGGTTACAGTAAATCAGTTTATTGTCCTACCAGGAGGCATTAAACAAAGAATGGGAGTCAGTTATACAACGTTTATCCAAAATTGTTGACGTAATTATTTTACTTAATACAATCTAATTTAACAAAGTTTACATCAAATTAGCATCAAGAAGCCGGCCAGTCTTCTTCGTGTAAATTCAAATTACACTTTAAAATGTGAATCTACCATCCCAAAGAAAAAAGTATCGGAGAGACTAAATTGTGGGTCATCATTATCACAACGCTCGAGATATATAAAGAGTATGATAACATGATATCAGAGGAATAAAATTTAAGCTTATCAAACGGACACGTTTCAATTCAGGTCGCATAAGCAAAAGCTATAAATCTGGCTCGTCACTTTCGACAGTAATCAAACTTGTTTAGACACAATTTTATGATCTAAAATACATAAAAGGGAAATATAATGATACAAACAGCAACTGTTAACAAAAATAAAGAGGTGATCAAAGACGTAGCGAGTGTCTGACTTCGCGACTTCCATGTGCCATTGCAATGTGTTGTCGTGTGAATCGTACGATCGACAACATTATTTTCATGTGAATCGGTAAACGGTCTAACTCCTAACCTTGTTGATTATTTCCTTAAACTATTATAACATTACACGCACTAGCAATTTTGAAGAGCGGTTAACTCTTTCGAGAGCGCACAGTATCAAAGTTTTCCATAAAAAAGCCGGTTTGCTCTTCCTTTAATTTCACGAAACATTGCATCGCAGACAATGATGTCGCCGGCCAGCGTTGATAAAAACTGTCTTTACACAGGGAAAGAAATACGTATGAACTTTCGAATTTGAAAATAGAACAAAAAAAATGCCAAAGTTTATCAAACCCCGAGAATCATAGGTTGAACTACCTGCTTCCTCCGCGACCTCTGTTGCGCTGTTGTTTCTGATGATAACTCATGCTCGTTGACGGAAGTTTGAACTTGATGTTCCATGAGTTTCAGACCAACATAATCGTCCAAAAAACGCATGTAGCGTCGACGATTTCAAATAACAGAGAGGAAACCTAATTCTTTATATGTGACATTTACAATGGAAAGGTTTCCAAGCAGTCATACGCTAGCGACTGCTTCTATTTCCTTCCCTTTCAGAAAATCCTGCGTAATAGACTCCCGCGCTCCTTGATCGTTCGCGTCCAAACTAAAGAGAATTTACAACTTGATCAAGAACAAACTTTTTACAGACCCTTTATTCCGACTGGGTAAGCTTAAGGAAAAGCCAACAATTTAAAGCAAAAAAAATTAATATATAATTTAGTTATGGACAGAAACAAAAAAACAATAACAACAACAGCAAAACAGCAAAAAAAACATAATGCTTTTACGAGTTGTCACTAGCGTCAGCAGGTAGAAGAGTAGAGGGTGACCGAAGTCTTGTGTGTTTAGATTTCAAATTAACTTCATCAATTCTTACCAAATAAAACTGCACCACAACAGTTAAAAAACTTCTAAGTCAATGTAAACGAATTAGTTATCGTGAATTAGCACCGTTATAATTTCCCTCTCCCGTGATGCTTCGAAATTCTCCCTACTAGTTTGGTCGTTTCGAGTATGGCCCCGTCTTGTCAAAGACCCTTCCCAGCATGCATCCAAAACTTTAGAGGAAGAACACTGCTGCACTACTCCTCCCCAGTGAGTATCCCAACGTGACGAATGGCTCTCTCGTCCGCCCGTGAATGCAAGAAAAAAGAAAGGAGAAACAACCTAAAATGATACCTGCTTCAAACATTTGAAAGCAAGGAAAAAAAATTTGCTTTTTAGAAAAGTGAAATCCGATAAAGTTCACCAGGGTTAAAATCTGCAGAAAATCTCAAAATGGCTCGCGGATGAAAATGAAATTGGAGAATATTGAAACAGATTAAGCCGGAAGTGTTCATCCCATCACTGACCTCCGATATTTACCGTCGTGCAAAGCATTTCCGGTTGCCTAGCGGGGGTGTTCGGCATGGACCACCGAAAAGCGTCATCGCACATTTTTTCATTTTCGGATTTTCTTTTACTGGTTCACAGGCAATGTTTTCCTCTATCCCCCCAAAAGTTGACCTTCCGCATTTCTCTTTAAAGTCTTTAAAGAGTTTTTCCTTGAACATCCGGCCATCCAGTCTGTAGCCTTACCTTTTCTCGCAACCGTCCGAGAAGAAATAATCGTATACTGACTGTACAAATATGAAAGCTCTCCACATCGTCGGTATTGCCATTTCATCTCCAGCTTTTTCTATCTGAAGGTTGAAGAGCTTTTTTAAAAACGTCATAATGGCTCTGCGTAGACCGCGCGCTGTAGAACCGCGAGAGCCTTGACCCAGTCTGTGCTCAAAAAGTTTTAAAGTTAACGAAGCTAAACAACTACTGTAGTATTTAATTTGAGAGCTAGTTTTTAACAGTGGTAAGAAATGACCTCAAAATTAAAGGATTTTATATTTCGTTTAATTCTGGAAACAGCTGGGGCCGGAAAAGCGTAGGAAAAGCAGCCAACATCGATCGTCCCCAGGGCTATGGAAAATGAAAGGCAAGAGCCCGGGGGATAAGATTTAACTTTGGTTTTGGTCGGCATGGTTTATTCCTCTAGATTTTTAAAACAGTCACGATGGCGTCCATAAGTTCCTTTGAAATCTGGAGTAAGAGTGACTTTGCCTTCTTTGAATCGTTGATAGCCTGGAGGCAATTTAATAAAATTTTTCCATGATGTTAGTTTGAAAAATTATTTTATTCCGTAAGCAAACCATGTGAAACCGGTTAGCAACGGCACAGAACTGGAAAAAGGCGTTTACACACATCGAACATCGTGCCAGAGCGGTTGGCCTAAAAGGTTTCGTGAACCAGTTCCAACCCTAAATATTTACTTCCGTCTTGCTCCAATTTATCCACTTCCGCCACGGTCCGAATACCTGTTCACATTGTACCATAGTGTGGCACAGAACCTATTTGATATGTGGCGCTCCTCTATAGAGAGCGGTGCAGCGTAGCTTCGCTCCGTTACAGGCCTCGTGCCGAAATCACAGTTCTTATGTGTGAACAGAAGCCCTATCCCGGGTATGGTTTCCGTGCCGCCCCCCTGGCGCAAGAGCTATCCGGTAGAATGTGAACACAGCCTGGACAAGATCAGGGTTTGAAGGCCTCAGCGGCTCACCCGGTGACCGGTCGTTTCGCCTACGAGTCGTTTCGCTAACGTCTTATGTCGTTCCGCTAAGAAGCGAAACGAGCGCTGCGCATGTATATGCTTGGTTCTCTCAGCCATGATACAAAAAAGTGCGATACGCTTGTATATACCTCCTTCTTTCAGCCACCGATCAGGCGAAAGCAGTTAGGGAACTGACCCAAGACGTACGCGAAACGACTTCACAAGTTGGCGAACAGGGGGGGCCGGTTGCTCGAAGCCTGGTTAGCGCTAACCGTTGGTTAAGAGGTATCAAAATGTATAGGTTTCCATGGTATTTAACGCTGGTTAGCACTAACCATGCTTCGAGAGCAACCCGGGCCAGGATGTTGGTGAAACGACTCGTAGGCGAAACGACCGTAGACCGCTCACCCCTACCTAAACTTCCCTTGAGTTCCCCCTTCCCCTGGGGGTATCTGGTCACCTCGCCACCAACGAAATCGCCTCCAACCATTGTTTCGAACTTTGATTCATGAAGGGAAATTCCTTAACCGTTACTATCTTTTATATTTCAAAGAAATGACCAGTGGTTGTGAAACTTTCTGCCAGGTTTTTGATCTCTCAAATGCCAAAGTTTGCATTCATTGAACCTATAAATGTATTTATATTACTATTTGCATTATCAAGAGCATAAGACGTTCGACCCGGGGATCGTCAATTAGCATCGACAGATTTGTATTTGAGTCGAATTTAAATTCTAATAAGCTTGACGAAAAAGTAAAAATCTTAGGTAAGTAACCCTAGGTGTTATGTAAACTGTGTCAATTATTCCAGAGTTACTTGTTGGTGACGCGCCGACATATCGGTGGTGAGATGACCGTAAACCCCTCTGGAGGCGCGGTCACAAGAATTTGCTCCAGTTCAGTGATGGACGAGTCAAAGTGCGGAAAGAAGGGCGGGAAGTGGGGCGCAAAGGTTTTCTAGGGGCGGGCAACCACGAGAGTTTGCTCGGGTGTTAGTCTTACGATCATAGCATTGCTCGAACTTTCTACTTCCTCCAATCTTTCTCAGCTTTCAAAATCAAAGATGGCGACAACTGCGTTCACTTTTCCGAATTTAATCTAGTTTTACTGTGGTTTGATAGCCTTTGTCGTTTATTTCATTGTCTTGTGTTTTTACGCCTCCCTCCCCCCCAACCCCTATACTTGGTCATACATAACATGGCCCTCTTACGGTTGACATCAAGATGGCCTGCGTAGCAAGCGCTTGGAAATTGTACCCATGATGTGGGAAAGTGCCTGATATTACGACATAAAACTTGGGGCAAAGACGCAAAGCAAAACCTTTGTAAAACTGAAGCCAAGCAAGAGTCCAGACAAGAACAGGGTGCCTGTTTTTGATCGATTAGGTCCTGGCCATTCTTGATTACTGTCAACCTGGGACAAGGCTTCTTTAAGGGGAAAAATGGCCAATAATAAGCGGAGCGCAAAATAACGGAAAAAGGCAGGGGAGAGAGAATGGTCGGCCCTCCTCAATCCTCTGCACGGTTCGCCTCCTCCATCGCGCTCGCCCCATAATTCGCCCTTTTCACCCAATATAGCCTGCGAGCAAGCTTCCCTATTTGGGCGAGCGAAGCAGTATATCCTCGCGACACAGCTCCCTCAAAAAAAAAAGCAAATACAAAGGAAGGCATGGATGGACAAAACTGAAGAAGATGACAACGGACCGCAGTAGGGTTAACATTTGTTGGTCACGGAGCTGTCCGCGTTCAAAATATCAGACTGCCTTGAGCACGGAGGAATAGATCTAGACTGAGTTCCATTGTGTTCCATGATGCTATCCATGTTTCATTTGTTGCCTATCCAAACACAACTTTACTCTGAAGCCTTCTAAGCTGATAATTTTGAAATACTGTTTTAGGTCACGGTCTTAAAACTATGAAGTCTCTTCATTAAGTAGCCATTTCATGACTATTTCTTTATGTAATATTGACTCTAATTTCTTAACCCTCTTATAGAGTTTTTACAGTTCTCTGGGATTTTAATTGGCGCTGCACCAAGCAGAGAATCGTTCAAGATGATATCAACCGAGTTTACTTGCTGGATCCTGTTGCCTCTGCCAGTCGAAGTACATTTCTCGCCTGTTGAACAGTTGGCATATCAATCATGTAACCATGGAAATCTATAGCTCCCTGTTGGCAGAAACAGATGAAAATTAAGTCAAATCTCTCTTAAAGGACAGCTAGCTCTATAAGGCAGGCACTCCCTAGAAGGACACCTAGTTGGTGCCTGTTACCCTAAAACAGACCCCAAGAGTTGGTCCCTATTGTTCTTCAATAATTTTCTTTGCCCCTCTGTAAGGTGGACACCTCCCTAAACCGGACACCTAGAGTTGAACAGTTGGCATATCAATCGTGTAACCATGGAAATCTATAGCTCCCTGTTGGCAGAAACAGATGAAAATTAAGTCAAATCTCTCTTAAAGGACAGCTAGCTCTATAAGGCAGGCACTCCCTAGAAGGACACCTAGTTGGTGCCTGTTACCCTAAAACAGACCCCAAGAGTTGGTCCCTATTGTTCTTCAATAATTTTCTTTGCCCCTCTGTAAGGTGGACACCTCCCTAAAACGGACACCTAGAGTTGGTCCCTAAAGTTCTTCAGTCATTTTCTTTGACTCTCTACAAAGCGGACACCTCCCTAAAATGGGACACCTAGAGTTGGTTTTTGTTGTTCTTCAGTCATATTCTTTTACTCTCTATATAGTGGACACCTCCCTAAAACGGACACCTAGAGTTGCTCCCTGAAGTTCTTCAGTCATTTTCTTTGACTCTCTACAAGAGGGACACCTCCCTAAAACGGACACCTAGAGTTGGTCCCTGTTGTTGTTCAGTCATATTCTTTGTCTGTATATATGGTGGACACCTCCCTAAAATGGGACACCTAGAGTTGGTTTTTGTTGTTCTTCAGTCATTTTCTTTGACTCTCTATATAGTGGACACCTCCCTAAAACGGGACACCTAGAGTTGGTTTTTGTTGTTCTCCAGTCATATTCTTTGATTCTCTATATAGTGGACACCTCCCTAAAATGGGACACCTAGAGTTGGTCCCTGTTGTCGTTCAGTCATATTCTTAGACTCATATAGTGGACACCTCCCTAAAACGGGACACCTAGAGTTGGTTTTTGTTGTTCTTCAGTCATTTTCTTTGATTCTCTATATAGTGGACACCTCCCTAAAACGGGACACCTAGAGTTGGTTTTTGTTGTTCTTCAGTCATATTCTTTGACTCTCTAAATAGTGGACACCTCCCTAAAATGGGACACCTAGAGTTGGTCCCTGTTGTTGTTCAGTCATATTCTTAGACCCTATATATAGTGGACACCTCCCTAAAACGGGACACCTAGAGTTGGTTTTTGTTGTTCTTCACTCATTTTCTTTGATTCTCTATATAGTGGACACCTCCCTAAAACGGGACAGATAAAGTTGGTTTCTGTTGTTCTTCAGTCATTTTCTTTAACTCTATATATGGTGGACACCTCCTAAAACAGGACACCTAGAGTTGGTTTCTGCTATTCTTCAGACATTTTCTTAGACTCTCTTTAAAGAGGACAACTCCTTAAAATGGACATCTAGAGTTGGTCTTTGCTGTTCTTCAGTCATACTCTTTGTTTTTCTTTGTCTTTCTGGTACACACCAACACTGCTCATAAAATAATGCCAAGGTATTTCCTTGGTTTATCTATTCCACTGACCTTTCCTTGTTTTTCTTGCTCTTCAAAAGCAGTCACAACATCTGATGCCCATTTGAGCTTTTCTTCGCTTGGAGAAAATGCCTTGTTCACGATGTCTATTTGTCCAGGATGTATTATTTGTTTGCCTGTAAAGAGAAAGACCAGGAAATATGGGAAGGACACAATTTGAAAACCCCTGGAAGACAAGTCTTAGATTTCAAGCATGGACAGTTGGACAGAAAATCCCTCTCTGAATGGTGACAAGGGAGCAGAACTCCCCGTCATTTACAATCCTCTCCTGGGAGTACATAACAACCTTTCTGTTTAATACGTAACCTGACATTTCACATCATTGATGAAGTTCAAGCGCTTCGAATGAAATATTCGATTTGTTTGAAATCATTGCTCTGAGTTTTGAAATTTGTATGCTAAAATGTAGAAAAGGTTCTTACACAAATCTTCAGATGTGACAGCAAATTTTCAGTGCATGTAAAGAACAAACTTACTAAAGCTAACAAATCCCTACATATCCTTAGAACGCTGCGCAAAGAGGGGTACAATCAGTCAGAAATAGACCTTCTTTTTAATACAATAGTTCTACCTAATATTAATTACGCATTATCTGTCTACGCCACGTCCAAGTCTGATCTTACACCTGTACAATGTTTCTTAGACCATTGTTTTAAAAGAAAATAAATGCCTAAGCCTGTAAGTGTTTATGATTTCAAAGAGAGGCAAGACCTTAAAATTTTCAGAAAAGTTTCTAATGCTAAAGGACATCCACTTTTATCTATTATGCCTTGAGTTAAACCATCCAGTTATTGCAAGAGAGGCTATAAACTAAAAGAACACCTTACAAGTGTAGGTCAATAATACTGCTTGTTTGAGCTCACTATACCTGTGTATCCAAATCTTGCTCCTTCTTCTGCCTGTGATCTTAAACCTTCAGGGTCTAAAACAAAATAATACTCACTCTAGCTCTTAGCTGCTAAACATTAGCTAACAAATGATAATTAAACCAGTAAGTAATTCTGGAACATACAAATATTTTGTCCACAATACACTGCTCCTTTAAATAATGTTTGTTACAATGAAACTAATTATTAGTAAAGCTATAACCCTGTGCTTGGTTTTTGTTCCTTAATGCCTAGTGCCTGCATCTTTTTATTCACTGCACATATTTTTCAAATTACCTTTGAAATTAATATACACCATGTCAATTGCTTGGAGGCCATATGCCTTGGCATGTACTACCACACTCTGACGAGCATGAATTAACTCCTTGACATCTTCAGTTCGGGTGGCCCCTAAAAAAAGAAATTTTTTGCACTTGATGTAGAAGAACTCACGGTAATCAATCAATCAGTGTGAACTACAGAATCACTAGGTGGCCAATTCTGGAGTTTTTTCAAACGAATACTCTCATTGCCAAGTGGTTAGAGCACTGGAACTTCAGTGCGGAGGCCCCGAATTGATGTCCCACCCTGACTGACAGCTGGATTAGTTCTCAGTACTTAATCCTGCGTTTAAGTCCTCATCCACCCCTGTAAAATTATAAACAACTGGTTTGTCTCCAGCCAGCTGGAATTTTTAACCCTGTTATGCTTATTTAAATTAGTTGTTTGCTTGGCCCCACTAGCCTTAGACTTATATGTACCGCAAGTTGACATCACGAGTTTCACTTTCACAGCAGATAGCAGGCAGAGCAAGCTTTTTCGACCATGAAGCAGCCAAGCCAGTGACAAAGTTGCGAGAGGTAGATTGACAACTTTATCCCCAAGGGTCCTAAAGAGCAAATCTGATTGGTCTAAGCACAGCGACCTTATTGGGTCACTAAAACTAGCACCGGTCAAGAGTAAAAAGTCCTTCTACATGTGGACCACATGAGTTTAGGCAATGGTGACGGCAATGAGAAGGGCAAAAAAGCAATAAGTTTGCATTAGCAAAACAAGACTTGGCACGTCCATCATGCTTTTTTTAACATTTTTTAACCATTGTTACATGACCACGATGTGAAAGTGCTGCCTATTTTCAAGTTTTGCGGAGGAAGTGAACAAACGATAACCATTTTCTATATTATTGATTTTGAAAGTGAGGGTTTTTGGAATTCAAAGGGCCCATTGTAAAGGAAAGAATGAATCTAATCTGGAGTTTATAGAAGGATAGGGTGTGGGTAAATGTATATCCTTTTTTGACATATAAAGCACAACATCTGAAACACAGTTAATATGTTTGCAAATAATGATAACTACCTGAACTATTAATCCTACCTATACTCACAAGAAAGTCATCAGAACCAAACACTAAGGCCTCAAACTTGAAGGCTTTGTCTTCAGCTCTGCCACGCTCACAGATAGCTCGTAGGTTCAAAAGACTAATAGCACTTTCCATCTGGGTGATTAGGCCAAGCTGACTGCCCTTGGATTTTGCGATAGCAGAAACTTTATCACTTAGCTGAAAGGGGCAATAAAAAAGTCAATCTAGGATAAAACATGTTGGAAGAATTACCATTTAAATATGGAATTGTGAGTGTTTTATTCCCCTTGTTCACTAAAACTTGCATGTAGTGAATAGTGAAAAGACACATAAAGTAGTGGTGTGCCAGTCATCAATTTCAATCGATCATTGATCAAAATCTTTCAGTGATGTGATAATTGATTATGCAAAATATTTAATTGATGATTATTGCAGGAATAAGTAAAATTTTTTTGATGGCAAATAAACATAGTAAAAACCAATGGATTGTCTTTTAAATGACCTCATAATTACAGAAGAAAAGAATTTGATCACCCACAAGCCCAGAAAAAATTCTCAGTTGAGTGATCTACAGTCAAGAGACTCAGTAAGGTTGTATTACAAGTAATGGTAGAGTCTAACCACTCCTTACAGACACCTCTATAATACAGACACCTCTCTTTTACGGACAGTTCATTTGGTCCCAGAAATGCCAAAAATCATACATTCCCTACCTCTATAATACAGACATCTCTGTAAAGCGGACACCTGGTTCTGTCCCTTTGGTGTCCGTATTAAACAGGTGTGACTGTACTTTGAAATGAGCACCAAAGTTAGAATTGCAATCATGACAAAAAAACACACACACACTTAATCCTTTCATTTCTCCATGTTAAAAACAGTATCACTACATTTATGGCCTTATGAAGGACAGGTGCCCAAAATCTCAGATTCCAAGCTTGAGCGAAAAAGATAACTGCAAGGATTTTTAAGGAAGGCTATATAAAAAGAAATTTACCCAATCCAAATGTTCCACAGTATCTACTTTGGGCACCACAATAGAGTGAGGCAAAACCTTCGCTGTTAGGGCAGCTCTTAAATCATCTTCCGCTAAACCAGTTTCAATAGAGTTGATACGGACACACACTTCACTAAAGCCAAAGTTCAGTTGATCAAGAAGATTGTGAATAGTGCTCCTTGCTTCTTCCTAAACAAGAAATAGTTATGTCAACAAGGAAGCCCTCTGAGTGAGGGAGGGGGGAGGGGGAGGGACGAAGGTTCACATTTTCAGGAGTAGGCCATGCCCCTGTCAGTATTTAACCCATCTTTATGTTGTTTGTTACCATTTTATCTAGTCTTATGTTGCTGTTTCAAGGCCGTGTCGCTTGTCACAATTTGACCCTTATATGGCCTCAACAAGGCCAACTAGTGGATGGGAGGCGGTGGAGGCGGAGGGGCTTGAAATAAGGATCTCTGGATTGTAAGTTAAGTGTTCTAACCCCTCAGTCAGGCTGCCTAAATTTAGCAAAAACAACTGATTCAAAACAATCCAATGAAGCGTAAATCCACAGTGAATGGAAAAGCAAATGAAAACATATGCTTGTTGTCTGCAGGTCATCCAAACCAGACCAATTTTCACTACCTTTTTAAGGGATGAGGTGTTTTGATCCACAAAGGCAATGAAATCGACAATATCATGAAATCGAAAACGATATCGATAACAATAAAAAAGTAATCATCGATTTCTAATGATGATTGACTCAATCGATATCAATGAAAAAGTGATTATCGTTAGTTTACTACCGATGTATTCCGATCGATTAGATTTCCGATATCGGTTTTTATCCATTGCACTCGTCAGCTGTTATTAACATTACTGCATTTTCTAGCTAAGAACCAGAATTCCCTTTAACAAGATTAACAAACAGACAAAATCTTTTCATTTCACAAGCTTTAAGTTTTCATAAAATTCTCTCAAATCCAACCCACCAGGTTACCTTCTTGTTTGAAGCGACTCCATCTTCGCAATCCAAAACAACACAATCGGCTTTTAAACCAGTCGCCTTGGTCACTTTGCGCTCTTCATTTCCTGGGATATAGAGAAAAGATCGCCTTGGAGTGTATCCTTGTACATCACACAGCGTCCTAACCTGAATCCTGCAAGGCTTAGTTTTAAGAAGTGTTCTGCATAACTTGGCCGCCATTTCTCTTCAAGATGGTCGCAGTTCATGTAAGCTTATTAGTGTGTCCCTAGTCCCATGACCTGACCATACCTTATTGGTAGCCCCCACACTCCCAACAGGAGTTCTGTGTTCGTTTGTTTGTTTTTGGAGTGAGGATTACCTCAACGTTGGGAGTCCTAGAGTTTAATTGTAAAAGACCTTATCCGAATTTAGAAAGAGAAAAGGAAAATCGTTGTCTTGCGTTCACGTCCTCAGTTGCTAAGTAAAGTGAAAAATGCATGGAATATGGAAGTTTCATGTTGAAGTCGTGCACCAACGGCAAAGAAATGTACGAAAAGCGCGATGCACGTGCCAAACTGCTGTTTTGCTAATTTTAACGTATTGATTTTTTGCCGTGCTCGTTGCCATCCGGAGAGTTGATGGACTGACGGATTGGACAGACAGACAAACTGGACGGACAAAGGGACGGACGGATGAACAAATGGAAGTCCGTGACTGAACAAACAGACAAACTGGACGGTCTGGATTGATGGACAGAGAGGATGGAAAGACAAGCAGATGGACGGAGGGACGAACGGACTGCACAAAGGGACGGACAGTACAGAGTGGACGGATGGAGTGGAGAGAGTTGCCAGACGGACGGACGGACGGACAGAGCGGATGGACGGACAGAACAGGCGGACAGAGATGGACTGGACGGACAGAGGGAAGGATGGGTGAACGAACGGAAGGACTGAAAAGATTGACGAAGTGGACATTGAGCGGATGGACGGGTTTGCTATATTTTTCTCTTAAACGAGTTTTTGGATAGGTGTCCTAAAATTTGGGTCATTTCGTTTCATTTCGTTTGAGAAAACGAATTAGCTTGCTAAGGTATCGTTACATTAATATGCGCCATCTTATTAGTTAAAAGTGCCATGCTAAGGTATGGTTATATTAGTACGCCACATGCCATGGTGTTGAGGTCATCTAGTGCGACTTCTTACTGAACGGTAGAAGGATTCGTAAGTGAGGGAAGATGAGGTTTCTCTTTTTTTTTCAGATCTGACAATGTAAACATACGTGGTTTTGCTGATCTTGCAGTTTCTGGCATTTATTCTTCTGATTCCAATCTCCTGTGTTTTGTCAGTTTTTATTTGGGCGTGGCCCAAATAGAGTAATCGAACGGCTTGTTTTGACGCACAAGTGCCATAGGCACGCAATACGTGCTAACGTAAACAAGGCAAGTAAGGCTGTAAGCACTGGTGTCCTTTGTTGTAATTTGGCTGAAAGCGAGTCTGTGTTGAAGATGTGCTTTTCAAAACATTGTCATGAAGTGACAGGATTTTTGTTGTGGATTGGAACATACTTTATAAGCTGTGTAGTTCAGCAAAGAAGTAGAATAAAGGATTTATTTTCTCTGGTGGGATATGATGACAGTTGTTTAGTTGCAATAAGGCATGTTAAAAGTATCGTACGGGTAATAAAACCACGCCCAAATATACGCTCCCACAGCGTCTTGATATAAAAGAGTTCAAAACAAAAGGCGTCTGAGGAGCCAGCAAAAAGTTAAGATAATTCATCATGTGCGTGGTTTTAAAAATCAGGCATCTCCTGTCAATTATTCTGACAACAATAATTAAGACGAAGATACCTCTGAAATTCCAGTGTAAAACAGTTTAAAAGGCAACAATGGAAGGTTTTGTCTCCTTGAATACTCAAGTGAGAGCTTACAATATTGATTATTTCCATCCTCATATCCCACCTTTGTAAGAGACCCTTTATGATCGTTATTGACATAAACCATCACACAATTGCTTTTAAAGCATTTATTGCTGAGAGCATATTACAGTTTACCATGTATGAGAGCAATATATTTCACCACATTATTAAATAAGTCTCATAATCTAGCAAACACTACTAGTGCAAAACGTTAATTTACTTATTCAAGTGTTCTACTCTGGTACTGTAAGTTGGGCAGCTCTATCGCCATGGCAGCTGGCTAAAGGACGTCATACATTCCTCTAACTGAAAAATTGGTCTATACTATTGTTAAATTTGACTTGTTATGCTTATTACACACACTAACTATCCAGCAGGTTGACCACTCAAAATCAATTTACATCAAATTCTTTCCTCTTGATTTACAAAGGCCAAACTTTTTATCACGATAATTTATTTAATATTATTGACATCTGTGTCAAACCTAATCCTAAGCTTTGCTATCTGATGAGGGAATAAGACACTTTCAGCACGTTCAAGCAAAATCTCAGTGTAGAACGGAACCTTACAACGACTGCCTGCGGTGCGCGCAACCACAATACTTACCTTTAAAAGTTCCAGAAAATATGTTAGTGCAAACACATCAGACAAGGTTAGGATTATTTCCGAGTTTCCCCAGCTACTGTTTCTCTGTTTCAAAGCGAGGTTAAGTGCGGAGCCATTGACATAAAAAATGATTTTATTCTCAAGAAATAGAACTCATTCTTACAAGAAGGTTTTCCACTTTGCCTCGTTTTGAAAGTGAGTGCTTTTGGAACTCGGAAATGGCCTATTTTATCTTATTCGATTGATTTTTCTCTTTATGCAATGGGAACTTTAGTTGCAGTTAACGATGAGACGTTATTTAGTTTCGCGAGCGAAAAAGCCAGCGTTGACGAGAAGGGAAGAACAAAAGGAAGCCCAATGAAATATTGACGAATCGATGAGCTGCGCCAACAGGGTCAAGCTGGTTTCGCATAATAGACATTTGTGCACTGATTTCGAATTCACTTGGAAAGTTATGAAGTATCGCTGTTAATAGAATCAGGCGTTCCACCGACTAACGTAAAGCGCTTCGCAGACTTTTGCACTCCCAGAAAACGACGCCTGATCGCAGCTTACGGTGATTGAACGTAATTCAGATGACGAGATGTTAAAAACTATTCATAAGTTGGCTGCTGAAGCGCACCAATAAGCCCCTGAGCTGTACTAAACAGGTTGATGGGTGAACTGCCATCTGTGATAAGTGTAGACTTCAGACCCAAAGACTGCAGTAATTTGACCTAGAGAATAACAGCAATGGTAAGAGAGTTGTGAACACAAAGGGGAGGACTGAGTTCACAATATCACCTTTTTAAAACGTGTACACTTTTCGTGCACCAGGGCAAGGACTGAAAGAGACACAAATGCATTACAACTTAGCAAGCGCTAATCGAATCTAAAAAGAAAGAATGCGTGTGTAAGTGTAAGAGGGAGGGAGGGGTGGTGACCCTGAGAGTAAATGTCCCATGAGGGTTCCCGCCCCCTACCCCCAAATATATAACCCCGACCTGTTCGTTCGAGCTATTTGTTTACATTCTTTACAGACTTTCGTGACCACGTGTAATGAGGATGGATATGACAACTAAACCTTAATTAATTTAGTTTTAAGACAGTGATAAGTGACTGAATAGGCTACGTGGCTTGAGAGTGTCCCAGCAGAGTTTATTGAGTATGGGGGAGATATGAATACACAAACTTTGCTGAGACACTCTGCCTAACGGAGTCACTGTCGTTACAACATTAAGCCACGGTTTTCGATACAGTTACGTTAGAATTGTTACCTGCATCTCTGGCCCAGCTGTAGCGATTGCCTGAATAGTATCAGCACCAATAGACGACACCATGTTCTGAAATTTCTCTGTCTCAATAGCAGCCATTTCTTTGGCTTTGGAAACGTCCAGACCGTTCTGCTCTAACTGGTATTTTAATTCAGCTTCTCGTTCTTTGCTCAGACGCTGTAGCGCAGATTCCTTATCAAAGAAAACAAAGCAAATCAAAACGATGAAAAATCTTATCGTGCAAAAGGCAGTCTAATCTTTACGTCGGTTCGCCAAACACATAGGATTTCCGCCACAGATTTATCCCTTTACGCCCCAATATCCACATACAATTTCTCCACACCGATCTCTATACATTTCCTTAAAGAATAAGTTGAGAGAGTTTGGTAGAAGATCAAGGCTTTTTCTCTTAAGTAGGTGATCATTTATTAACTCTCATAACCATTTCCCTTTGCAAAATATGGATATTGTTAGGAGAAAATTGATGTTGGTCACTATTGGGACTTTAAGGGTTAAAAGTTTCCAGTTGTATACAGAAGGTCACAGTTTTAGTGTTAAAATTGCTGAGGATTGGATTCCGTCAAGAGGTTGGTTCCGTTTATACGAGTGTCCGCCTACAGGAGCTGTCTGTTGGCAAAGGTTAACCATAAACTTAGAGCAAACAGCATATTGATCGAAACGCTTTCATTTCAATGGGCACGAAGACAGTGATTACCAAGAGATTTAATCGAAGTTGTCTTATTCCCGTTTAGCTTTAAATGGTCCCATTATCGTACTGCAACCTGAATTTGAAAGTTTGATTTAAAAGCGCCACAGATTTCTAAGTTACTTCCACATGTTTAGAAGCCCGTTCAGTAGTACTCTTAGCATAAATGCAAAGCACAAGATCTGCAGATTAGTCTGCGAGAAAGCCCTCTCGACGACCTCAGGGCTGTACTCGGTTGACGGGGGTGAGGAAGAGAAAGGAAGACTTTCGCCAACCCCTACCCACAATCCAAGAGACAGGACTCCATCCAGGCTTAAAACAAAACTCTACTTTTTCCTTGCTGATATTCAAAAGAAGCATGATGACTGCTTCCCAAATTAACTGAAACCAAAAGCTGCTTGATTCGAATTACTTTAATGAAACTGATGATAACGAAACTTGGAGTAAGTAATTATGTTGAATGTAAATTAACATAACTTGGTGTAAGTAATTATATTAAATGTACGTTTCCTTTAGTAAATTTAGTTAGTATTAATTATTTCATTGTAATGCTTGATTATAATTGACTGTTCCGCCTAGACTCGCTAATGCTACTTGCGGACCAGTCTATTGTTGTTGTATTTGCAAATATTTTTCTAACAAAATTGAAGTTGTTGTTGTTGTTGTTGAAGGCTACTTACAGCTTCAATCTTAGCAGCTTCAGCCTTTAACTTGGCCTGTTGTACAGCAGCTTCCCCTTCAATCCTCGCCGCCTCAGCACGGGACTGCGCTTCAGCTTTAGCCTGACCTGTTGACTCCACAGCTGCACTCTGAGCCTGTAACTCTAACAGCTCTTTTCTGGCGCGTTCCGCTTCAGCCTCGTCTGTTATCTTTTGTCGCTCTAGTCGGCCCTTGGCTTCTTGTTCCAGTCGCTCTGCTTCATGCCTGGAATAACGTAAACAATGAATATTGAAGATTAAAGGTTTAGAAGAAAGCTTCCCTACCCTAAAATCTTACACGGTCGGAGACGAATAAGCCTTTAGGAGCTAATTTATCATCCCTGTCTCCCCTTATCTCCCCTGTCCTCCCTAACTTGTGTCTTCTGTCCTCGTCTCCTTTGTCCCACCTTTCTTAACCCTTTAAGCCCTAAGAGTGATCAGCATCAAATTTCTCCTTGTAATATCAATGCTTGTAAAACAGAGTGGTCATGAGAATTACGGACGTGATCACACAAGACGAATTTGCTTGATATTTTATCAACTTCTCCCCACTACTTCAGTAGGAAATGAATATGGACAACAAATGAGAATTCAAATTTTAATCTTAGGGTTTACAGGGTTAAATGCTCATCAGTATCTTCTATTCCCCCTGTCTCTCCCTAGAAAAACGAGAAAGACAAATTCGTCGTCGTTTGTTTACATCCACCATAAAAAGGTCGCGTCATGAAATTAAACGCTGTAGCCGCGCAGTGGCGATAAAGAAATTTACGCAGAAGTGCGACACACGCAGAAGTGTTGGTTTGCTTGTTAACATTTTCGTCGCCGTCACCATCGCGACATCCTAAACTCCCGAATGGCTCACAAAAGGCCCTCACCTTGCTGTAGCTTCTTGTGAATTCGTTGTGATCTCAATGGCTAACTGGACAGACTTCTGCAGCGCATCTCTCGTACGTTGGTCAACTGGTTCTACAGACTGGATGTCAATACTCGTTATGTTCAGACTGTTTGCTGGAAAAGTGAACTTGTTACGAATTTTGTGATTTTCGTCGAGTCCAAATACTGAAGAACGGATGATCTTTGCTGAATTCTGCAATGTAGACAACAAAAAAGATTTTTTTAGTATGAACTGTACCTAATAATACTTTAAAGCCATGTTCACACAATAACGGATAGCTTTTGCACTGGCACAAAGGGGCGCGATTTCTGTAACGGAGTGAAGCTGCGTCACGTCGATCTCGAAAGGCGGTGGAAAGTCACATATCTGATAAGTTCTGTGCCACACTCTGGTGTAGTGTGACCAGGTAATCGAGCCACAGCGGAAGTGAATAAGTAGGAGAGACGGCTGGAAGCCACTGAGACGGAAGTAAATATTCAGGAGTGAGGACTGGGATTTAGTTCACCGAGCCATCTCGGCCACTCGCTCCGGCAAGTTGTTCGTCGTGTGTGAACGACTTGATCCTGTTCTGAGCCGTTGCTGTTCACAGTATACCGGATACCTATTCGTGTCGGCACGAACAGTTTTCTGGTATAGTCAAAACATAACCTAAGTTTACAACATCTCGAGGAGAAAAGATTTGTTTACCTTGTGAAAATCATCAAATTGAACACCAGCGACTGCACCACGGATTCTAGAGGCAATTGCTTTGCAAGCATCTCCAACAAAATCAGGAACAGAAAACAGCTTAGCAGCATCTTTGGTGCTCTTGTCGCCCACTTCAAAGTGCCTGTGAGAGGAGAGACAAACAGTTTGAAACTTAAGGGACCACTATGTGAAGCGTACATGTAGCACACAATGACTGATAAGTATTGTTTGATAGCAACAAAGGAAAGTACAGTAAGGTTTGGCTTTGAGTGGGGTGCTTCATAAACAAAGTCGAAGGTTAGGAAGAAATATATAAAGCATGAGACGCAGCGTTTCATCACCAGATGAAACACCGAGAAGAGAGTTGAAAATACGAGGCGCAGCGGAGTATTTTTGACGAACTTCAAGGTGTTTCATCTGGTGATGAAACACTGTGTGGAGTACTTGATATTACTTCTCAAACAAAATGATTTTTAAAAGGAGAAATCAAGGACGCAAAAATGCGTAGTTTTTCCGTCCGATTTCCAAACACTCATTAAACATTAATTTCCTCTGTATTTTCCTTATGAATTATTAATAAGTTTGAGAAGATCTTGTGCAACATGGAACATAGAATTACTGGAGATGTTACTCAATATCTCTCACTTGAATTTTTGACCACGTGGTATGTCATAATAAACGATACTACAGGGTCATACAATCTCTTTACGACATTTGACGGGTCCCGCAATCCCATAAGGGTGGTTACTCTGTGTGCTGAAAATTCGTGCACGGCGAAATGGGATCGATTCATCGTGTCTATTCACTCGTAAAATGTTCATAACACTTTTAGTAAGTTTCTGAGTGCAAGTTACCAGTTGTAGGACAACTGAAGCTGCAGTCTTGCGTGGTCAGAAGTTTCTACAGTCACAATATCAGTACAGAAGTCTGGGCCGAGAAGCAGACACAAGGCTTTGATCACATTTGGTTTCTTTGGTTTTCCTCCTGACAAACTCAGCTGGGTGAACTGTTCATCGGGGCACAGCATAACCAGCTCCGGACCAAACACAACCCTGCAAAGGAGCAACAAGAGGGGTTCAGGTATTAACTGGCTAAGATGGATCAAATATTTCTTTCATAATTCTGCAGTGTTACCTGGCTGTCTTCTCTTTGTAATCGTAAATCTGCACTGCTGCATTGTGAGGCACTCGGAAAGTTACAACACTGGTTTTATTTCTTTCAAACCCGCTGGTGGGTTCACCTGTGGAAAAAAAATTACTTTCGATAACTGCTTACGCAAAGTCAATCAATCGATCAATCAATCAATGATAAACTAGTAATAATCACAGGTTAGGGAGTGCTGGGCGAGTGTCTTGCTTCTTCTACACATTCCTTTCAATCTTAGTGCAAGAGCAAACGAAGGCTGGCTACGTGCCAAGCATACGTAATTTTATTTTATTTATTTTATTTTTTTGTCACACAGAATAAATAATAAAAAAAGATAATAAATAGGTTAATTAACATTAAATTTAAAATTAGCACACAGCTTGGAAGGAGTGACTGTGGCGGGGAAATCTCCGAGAAGCCAACGAGCTTATGAGGAATGGAGATTTTTCCCCAACGGCAATTTAAATACTTGGTGGCATTTAAAATAAAGAAAAAGACGTGTATTTTAAGTATATAAGTGTTTTAGAGAAAAATATAGATATGAAGTGTTAAGGTATTTAGGTTGCATCCTGTCTGACCCTTAAAAATGGTTTGATCACACGTTTGAATATATTAAAAGTCGCGGCGATTTTGATGTTGTTCGGTAATGAAATCCATATTCTAGGACCTTGCAACGGGATCGAAAATTTTTGATATTTGTTCTACAGGTCTGAGGACGGTTAAAGGCAGAGTATCGACAGCAATAGTAAAAGCGACCTGAAGATTAGGATCGCGGGCTCTGGTCGCCCGCATTAAAAAGTTATTTCATTCACAACATATTCACTGGAAGATCAACCTGCAGAGAACAGCAATGGAAAGAAGACACGTGTGCGACTTTCAAAGCATCAAGAGTCGCCTTTGATTTGAGGTCATGTCCCAAGGTACATATGGAAATTCCACATGTTGCCCGGCCCCACATTGAGGTTTGTACACTCTTTCACAAAACATACGCGCGAACAGTCAAACAAACGGTCTCGAGCGAGGCTGAAAACGGCGAGTGAGACTGAGGAGAAACGCTCGCAAAGTGAGACTTATACGCTACACTAAACCGATCTTGAGAAAAAAAAACCAACTGTTTTGCAGTCTGACATTTCTGTATCGAAACATAAAGCGGTAGAAACTGTCATCGATAGAAAAGTGGACCTTCGAATTTAATTTTTATCTACTCTCCAAGTCTCTAATACATTTGTGATGATTCTTTAAATCTCGTGTTTTACTACTCCTTCCCTTAGTTCTCTGCCTCTTGAAACTTTTTGCCACATAGCGGTCTCCGATTTTCAAACAAAGCTCTTGTCAAGTCTCGGATTTTATCATTCACCAATCTTACAATTATATCCCATTTTTGAGCATCCAATAAAACTCAAAGCCGACAAGACTGATGGATAAAGCAACCCAAATGCTGGGCTACAATGCTATTTATGATGGTATAAAGACATAATGTTAGGGTGGAGCTAGTCTCCCTCGCAGCTGTTTTTGTCTCGTCACGCAACGCTCCTCGAGAGGAGCGTTGCGTGACGAGACAAAAACGGCTGCGAGGGAGACTAGGGTGGAGCCCGCAGCTCATCCGTACCCCCGTTCCCCTATAGAAAACCAGGTTGATTCAGGGATCGTGGAGCATATTTTGGATTTGTGGGGCTAGTTCGCGCGTACCGCTAGCTAAATTTGCGAGTAAGACCCGAGTTTGTCTGAGGTGATCCGGGGGCATGTTCCCCCGGAAAATTCTGACATTCAAAGCTTCTGAAATTGCTGGAAACGCGTTTATTTTCACCAATCCTCACGCGAAAATTTTGTCAAACGTTAATCACCATTCTGTTAGTTTTCTGCACAAAAACGCCGTAGATTTAACGAAGAAAATTGTGTGTGCTTTCAACGCAAAGATTATCAGTACTTTTGTAAATGCAAAAAGGTATTATGACGTACGTCCTAGTTGGCCTGGCCGTCTTGAAGTTTGGAACTCATCCCACTGCCTTGACACTGACTGATATGAAGGAAAGTCTAGGCAAATATTAAAATTAAAAGCCCTTTGTTAATCTACTTTAAAAATAAAGAAAGAAGATTATAATGCTCCGCAAAAGTAGGTTGAGTTTGATCGTCCGGGTGAACGTAGTCCTGTATAGGACTGTTATTGTTGACAGTGACTGACGTTTCGACAACCTGTGCGGTAGTCATCTTCAGAGTCTGGTTATTGATCTGATTGGTCAATTACGTCGCGATGCTATTGGTTGTCTGTCAGTTAAGCCGTGATGTTATTGGCTATGAAGACTCGTAATCAGTAATTGGTGCGTTTCGATCCGTCTATTGTCACAGTTAAATAGTCGTCTATTTTTAGTCAACTTGTCAGTTCTCCAGACGTTCCCTCGTAGTTTTGCTTGATCTCGTCAATAAGTCGTTGGTACGACGCTGGTACGCTGTTGACGCTGTTGGCTACGATTCAGTGACGTTTGTTCCAAGTTAGTAAACCAGCTTTCTAAAGTAAGACGTTGATATTAGTCTGTAGAATACGTTATACACGTCGCAGAGTCCCAGTCAATTTGCTGTTTCGTCTTTAAATGGTGCTCAGCAATGTGATTGTTGAGGTCACCATTCAAGTTTCCCATGGTATTTCAACCCATGATGTCTTGGGAACTACTCTGGGCGCTCTAAGATAATTTATTTCAAGAGACTCGATCATGCAAGTTACTCTATTTTACTATTTTATATGGCTGATCCTACTGTTATAAAGGATGAAAGCCACCATTTTTTTTTAAAATAAGTGAATGGCCAAGATCAGTGTTAGTCTCTCAATTATAGCTCAGTGTTGAAAGCGCCCATCCACCCAAACAAGACTTGCATGAAGTTCACTGGATGAATCCCACTGGGGACTTTCACACTTCTCATATGATGAACATAATAGCCTCCCACGCAGACGTTCTTAGGGGTTTCTCACGCGTGGCAGGAACGCGTGACGAACCCCTAAGAACGTCCGCGTGGGAGGCTATGAACATAAGGTTAACAGCTACTATTCTTACCTGTCATTTGTGGTACAAGAACATTTCTTGTGCCTCTGTCTGCCAGGGGATCTTTTCCTCCGACCAAAAGCTGTTCCACTGTCGGTGGCAGTTCTTTCTCCCAAAGTTCTTCATCTTGTGTCAGCATGTATGTCTGTCCACATACTGCTCGCACTCTCCCTGTCTTGATGTCCCGAACGTAGATTCCTTCATTTTCGTCCAGTGGAATAGCTTTTCTGCGTGACACAACTTCAACCTGTACAGGGGGGACATACTCGCTAGGACCACGGATCATCCAGCGATCGCCAGGTCGTCTTGGAACTTCTTTCTATAAACAGTAAAGTTCATTATTTCTCCATTAATCATGGTTATAAAAAAGTATTTTGAGCAAATTTGTAACAACAACAAAAACTTGACGAGTACGGAGTACTGAAAAAGCTCTGTCTTATAGATTTTGAAAAATCTCTATGCTTTTCTATTTTAGACTGTTAATTCAAAAGCAACTCATTCCATTTCATGTTGTATTGGTATTCAGCTCCTAGTTGCATGCCACAGGTTTTGTCCAAACAAAATAATGTGAAAATCAGAAATACCGGTATATATACAACTGAAATTCAATAAAAAAAAAGAAGACTTTATGTTACCTCCTTCTCATCAACATCAATAAATCCTTCATTCGCCTTCAAAATCAAGCCCTCATCTTCACCAAGAATAAACACATCTTGAATGCCTTGCTCGAGTTTCTCTCCTGGAAGCAGGAAAAAGGACTTCTCTCCCTGTTTTTCCCAAAAAACAGTTGAATCAGAATTGAAGGTAATAATATTCACAATTTCAGAAGGCCTGTGCTCAAAGTGTTCATAAATTAACCGGGTCTGTATTCAAACGGGCATGGTAGGCCTTGGCAACTTTGTTAACTCCCTTTGTCTGACAAGGAAATCTTTTTTGTTGCACGAACACATCTGGAATCCTTTTCTCACGTTTCTTTCCTGGAAACAGGAAAAAGGACTTCTTTGGTCAAAACACAGTTAACCTCTATTGAACTTACTGTAAATTTTCAATTATAAATGAGCCCTGGGCTTAAACAAATTCGTAAGGGGTTTTAGAAGGGGTCTTTACAATCGATTTAGCTATAAAAAATTGCAACGAAACTTTTCTTAAAAACAATTACGAAATTCTTAAAAACGGTTTAAAATTACACGGCGTTTCGACGTCACCGGACGTCATTATCAAGTAAAAAGAAATAAAATATGTATGTTCTATAAATACAAGAAAAACAATAGTTCATTAAAAGGAAAGTAACGTATAAAAATATGTTACAACTAATAAACAAAGAGATTAGCACGGCTGGAGTCACTCTAGGTGTTAAGACTAGGCCTCAGTTCTTTGATGATCAGTAGCATTTTATAAATGAGGCAGTCAATTTTTCCATGGCACTTCTTGAGAATGCGAAATTGACCCTCATTAAGAAGATATTTGTCACCATCAGCTAATTCTTAGAACAAAATAAGTGTTTCAAAACAAAAGCTACATATAGCAGTGCTGATTGTAACGATATTGTCACGCGTATCATTGTCACGCATATCACGTGTGACAAGTCAAGTTTGGACTTGCGCAGTATGTTAAGTTATACATTTATCCCGGATGTATTCGCATGTGCTCCCTGATCTTGTAATGGCTGACATGTATTAAACCGGCAGTTCGTCTCCATAATCTCGTCTGTAGTCGTCTTCACTTAACGTTACATGGTGTCAGAAGTAAACTGGGCGTCAATTACAGCTCGTAGCCTCCGTCGAAGACGATTGTGAGTACTTTCTCCAATATGCCGACAACCCCGAGCGACAACACTGGCGAAAGCGGTGATGGTTCGGTTCCGAATTCATCGACTACACATCACACGGTGATTACAGTTCCAGTGAATATCCCGCTACCAGAAAAGTTAGATTTAAGCGGCGGTAATCTTCCTGTTAAATGGCAACGATTCAGTCGAGCGTGGTCGAACTACGAAATTGCTGCTCAACTCAAAGACCCGGAAAATCCGGATAGGAACAAGCAACGAAGGACGGCCACCCTGCTCACCTGCATCGGGTCGGATGCGCTAGATGTTATTGACTCAATGGAGTTTGAGTCCGAAGACCAGCGGAAAGAGCCAGACGTGATACTTGAGAAGATGGAAAAATACTGCATTGGGGAATGCAATGAAACCTACGAAAGATATGTCTTCAACCGAAGGGATCAGGAGTCTAATGAGTCTGTGGATGCCTATGTTACTGCTCTACGTAAATTAGCCAAGACCTGCAATTATGGGACACTAGCCGACTCACTAATCCGTGATAGAATAGTGGTTGGCATTAATGACAATTCAGCTCGAAAGAAACTACTACAAGCAGGCAAACTCACCTTGAGTCAATGTATTGACATTTGTAGATCTTCAGAGACCTCCGCACGGCAACTGAAGACTATGAATCAGGAGGATGTCCGTCTCGTAAAGGAGGAAAAAGTCAACCCGGCAGGCAAAAAGAAGGCGGGAGTATCGGACAACAGGCCCCGCACTGAATCACGAGAGTCCAGAATGACATGCAAATTTTGCGCTAGGCAGCATCCCTTCGCCAAGAAGAACTGTCCAGCTTGGGGAAACACTTGCAAGAAGTGCGGCCTCCCAAACCATTTTGCAGTCTGTTGCAGAGAATCAAAGAAAAAGGTGCTTTTTATGGATTTTGACTCCGATGATGACGAATATGTCGCAGAGATTGATGTGAAAGAGCAAGTCAATGCACTAGCCCCCCGCAATCACGCGAGCAAAATTTTTGCCACCCTTCTTGTCAACGGTGGGGAGGAGAAGTTCCAGCTTGACAGCGGCTCAACTGTAAATCTCATGTCAGATAAAACAGTGGAGAGACTCTGTGGTACGGGCTGTCTAAAAGACTTGGACAAAACATCTGTGACTCTGGTAATGTACAACCAGTCTGAGGTTAAACCGCTGGGCAAGAAACGCTTCCGGGTGACAAACCCAAAGAACAATAAGAAGTACAGTATTGAATTTCACATTGTTGGTGGAGTAAGTCCATGCAAGTCTATCCTGGGTCTAAGGGCCAGCAAACACCTTCAATTGCTAACAATCAATGAACACAACATCCTTGCTGTGGATTCAAACGATGAAGACCCTGTCAATCTCAAGAAAGAAGACTACATTTCGCTGTACAAAGATGTGTTCTCTGGGGAAGGCAAACTTGCAGGCCAACTACACCTGGAAATTGACAAGGATGTCCATCCAGTTCAGCTACCCACTCGGAGGGTGCCAATTGCCCTTAAAGAGCCTTTAAAACAAGAGTTGGACAGACTGTCAAGCATTGGAATGATCCTGAAGGTCGACACACCTACTGAGTGGATCTCAGCCGTAGTGGTCACAACAAAGAAAAATGGCAAAGTAAGACTGTGTATTGATCCCAAACCACTGAATGAGGCCCTACACAGGAATCACTACCCCTTGCCCACAATAGATGACGTACTCCCGCTGCTATCCAAGGCCCGTGTGTTTACAGTGCTTGATGCGAAAAACGGGTTTTGGCACATACAACTAGATGAGCCAAGCAGCTATGCGACCACCTTTGGAACACCATGGGGTAGATACCGTTGGCTTCGAATGCCATTTGGGCTTTCTCCTGCTCCAGAGGAGTTCCAGCGGAGAATTGATATCGCTCTCGAAGGTCTCCCCGGACAGAAGGCCATTGCTGATGACATCCTGGTGTTTGGATCGGGAGACACAGATGAAGAAGCCTTCAGGGATCATGATCGCCACCTGAAGGAGGTGTTCACCCGGTGCCAGCAGAAGGGCATCAAGCTAAACGCTGATAAGATGCAGTTCAGACAAAAGCAAGTGACCTACATGGGTCATGTGATATCATCAGAGGGTCTTGGGTGGATCCGGACAAACTGAAGTCCATCAACGAAATGCCACCCCCCACTGACAAGCATGGTGTCCAGAGAATCCTAGGAATGGTGAACTATGTACAGAAGTTTGCACCAAACCTGGCAGATGTGGCTAAGCCCCTTCGAGATCTTGTGAAGAAAGATAATGAGTTTCTTTGGGAGGAAGATGTCCACGGAAAGTGCCTGGAGGATGTAAAGCGGGTTCTAACGCAAGCGCCGGTACTCAAGTTCTTTGATCCACAAAAGAAGACAGTACTGCAATGTGATGCCTCCATGAGCGGTCTTGGAGCATGCCTATTACAGGATGGACACCCCATCGCGTACGCATCCAGGGCCCTAACTCCAGCTGAGACTAACTATGCTCAGATAGAGAAAGAGTTGCTGTCTATTGTCTTCGGTGTTGAACGGTTTGAGAGTTACGTTTATGGTAGAAAGGTCTTCGTTGATACTGACCACAAACCTCTGGAATCTATTATGAAGAAGAGTTTGCTGAGTGCACCTAAGCGTCTGCAGAGAATGTTGTTACGTCTTCAGAAATTTGACCTCGAGGTCACCTACAGAAAGGGCATCGAGATGCACATCGCAGATCCCCTTAGTAGGGCGTATCTCCCACTGCTCAAGCAAGAGGAAGACACCAAGGAAGATGTGTGGAGTGTTGCTGATGAAAGATCACCAACAGAGATCGAGACTGAGTATGTGAACATGGCTGAGTTTGTGCCCATTCGACAAACGACCCTATGTGACATCAAATCTGAAACTGAGCTGGACGCTGATCTGAGTGCATTAGCCACTATGATCAAACAAGGCTGGCCAGATAACAAGACAAATGTGCCCCCAAGTTGCAGAACTATTTCCCTTTTAGAGAAGAGTTGTCTTTACAGAATGGAGTTGTATTCAAGGGTGAACGAATTGTGGTTCCACTTACCTTGCGAGATTGCATTATCGACAAAGTTCATGCTAGTCACCTGGGCATTCAGGGATGTCTTAGAAGAGCTCGAGACGCTTTCTTCTGGCCTGACATGAGCAAGCAAATCACCGAGTTTATCTCAAAGTGCAGTATCTGTAATAGTTACAAACCAGATCAGCAGAAGGAGCCCTTAGTATGCTATGAAATACCGTCAAGGCCTTGGCAAAGCATCTCGGCTGACCTGTTTGAGCTCCACGGCTTTGACTACCTGGTTACCACTGACCGTTATTCCAACTTCTTCGAAGTGGATGTGCTGACGTCTAAGACTTCTAAAGAAGTTATTGATAAGCTTAAGCCCCATCTGGCTAGATACGGGCTTCCAGACCAAATTACTACAGACAATGGACCACAGTTTGACTGCAAAGAGTTCCAGCAGTTTGCAGAGCAGTACCAGTTTGAACACATTAGGACCTCGCCGCGGTACCCCCAGTCCAACGGCAAGGCAGAGAATAGTGTTAAAACAGCAAAGCAAATCCTAAAGAAGGCTTTTGATGCGGGACGTGACCCACAGTTGTCGCTACTGGACTTTAGGAACACACCATCGGAGGGATGGACAGCTCCCCTGCACAACGTCTCTTCTCACGCAGAACCCGAACTTCCCTACCCATAGCTAGTCAGTTGCTGCAGCCACAGTTGGTCCCTGATGTGGGCGACAAGTTACAAGAGAGAAAATTGAAACAAGCCAGGTATTACAACAGAGGAGCCAAGGTACTACAGCCTCTACAAGAGGGAGATGTGGTGCGAGTCCGACCCCTTAATCGCCGGTCGAAATGGTTCAAGGCCCAAGTTGATCAGCACATAGATGTGCGCTCCTACAATGTTCGCACTGAAGATGGTCGACTTTATCGCCGCAACCGTTCCCATCTCTACAAGGTTCCTGAGAGGTACCAACCAAACCATGATGAAGAGCTGGTGTTAACTAAGTTGTCTACGCCGGAACAGCCTGAGGGTGCATGTCAGTTGCCTTCAGCATCCCCTGTATTGCCGTTGCCTTCTGTATCTCCCACACCACGGATGCCTCATGTTTCAGATGTACAACCTCCTACCAATGGTCTGCCAACGGATGCCCAACCAAGGGAAGTTACTGATCCTGCTCCGGTTACGACTAGAAGTGGCAGAATTGTTAGGAAACCTGCTTATCTGAAAGACTTCTGTGTCTAGTGTGATATTGAACATTGAATTGAATTGAATTCAATATTGAACGATGAAGAAAGGGCATTGGTTGGTTATCGACCAGTTTTGAACAGTGAACATTATAGCTAGTTTCTGTGCCATTCCCAAGTTTCCTTTGGGCTTGTTTGTTACACAACAGTGAGCGTTGAACTTCATAGTTAGTTCCTGCACCATTGCTAAAGCTTCCTTTGGCTATTGGTGTTTTGTTTTGTTTTGTTTTGTTTGGTTTCTTTTGTTTCATTTAAACGAAGGGAGATGTAACGATATTGTCACGCGTATCATTGTCACGCATATCACGTGTGACAAGTCAAGTTTGGACTTGCGCAGTATGTTAAGTTATACATTTATCCCGGATGTATTCGCATGTGCTCCCTGATCTTGTAATGGCTGACATGTATTAAACCGGCAGTTCGTCTCCATAATCTCGTCTGTAGTCGTCTTCACTTAACGTTACACTGATCAAAATACTTTTAGAATTTGATCGCTTTTTTAACCTTCAAA